GTAACTCACGAGTTATCTCCCGGGCGCGTGCTTTTCACATACCGCGCGCGTTTCCCTAGATGTGATAAATACGAAGATGTAGCGAAGGGAAAAAGTTGTAATTGGACTTTACATATTCTGCCTCAGCAAAATTAGTTGTATAAGTGTTTACTTCTATATAATTTAGGCTGTGTTGGATCCGCAAAATAGGTCGAGTTTGCGAATTTGTTCTCTAGAATCTACAGAAGACCCCAAACCAAGCCTATGCAGCTGAGAAGATCAGAACAGTAGCGATAGATTGCTGCTCGCTCTACCATTACAGTGATTGATCCCAAGGACTGCAGCATAGTCGGGATCCGACTCAAAGAGATACCAAAACTCTATTGGACTTACGGTATTGCAAATCATCTTCCTCAACGACAGTCCAGATGGACCAACGACTACATTTGATTAATATCGCCACCGCAACACTCACAGCACTTGGAGGATTATCGTACAACTCGGGCGTCCGTTCTTAGCTCGTGAATTTGTACTTCCTACCACTCCATGCACATAACCATCAGAGTCGAACATGAAGGTAGAGGATCGGGCACAAAATGGGATGATAACAACACGGTGCATGCCCCTAAACACTGGCTATAGTCGATCCATGCGATGGACAGCTAAAACAACCCATAGCCCTCTGCATTTTCGAACAATAACACACTGGGACTTCGGAAATGTTTCGGCAAATGTTGGAGTGAATCCAGCACGTACGAGCCACTAGATATCGACATCACCGAAGAGCTCTTCGAGGACTTCCCCGTCAGTCTGCTGCCGAGGAGCCGCCGCTGAAACATCTTCACCCTCGGTTCGCTTTCGCAGTCGACGCTTCTTGCGCTCGAGCTCACCTACGGCGTGAGAATCATTCTGGACTAATAAAAGTATACCATACAAGTCCAGAAATTGGAAACTCATTCCCATAGCATACCCAAATGATAAAACTTACGCTTTTTAGATTTCTTATCACGCTTCGTTTCAGCGCCACTGCTTGCAGAACCCGAGGCCGCATCGTTATCAGACTCCTCACTACTCGATGAGGAACTCGTAGAAGACTCAGAATCTGAAATCATCCAAGACAGATGACTACTCGACTATGCACACTATGAAAACCGTAAATCTACAGACCCTCAATTCTGAATATGTCCAGTCCTTTTTTCCCACTCCCTACCAGATGAGCTCGGCTCGTCGTTGATGAAGTTATCCTCTTCAACAGCCTTAGAACGCTTCTTCGCTGCCGCTTTCGTGCGCTTCTCTGAGAGAAAAATGAAGTTTCACCCTAGTGATATGAAAAACACTAGTGAAAAACATATTTCACGACTACTGCATATCACCACGAATATCGCGTTTTCACCGAATATTACGCCATTTCACATGAAACGGGGCGTGAAACTCCAATGAAAATATGACTAGTTTCATACAAGTACACCCAAAACCAGGTGATATCACTACCATAAAGCGAACATGGCATTCCAGACAAAATTCCATACAAAGCAAAAGTGACTTACCTCCCTCATTTGCGGATCGTTTGCGCTTCCTCCCCGCTGCAGCTTCCTCCTCCTAAGGAAGCGGAAAAAATCGGAAAATCGAAAAAATAAAAATAAAATAAAAAAAAATTAAAAATCAAAAAAAAATCAAAGAAAATATTGGCTTTCGGGATTCCAATTCACCAGAAATAAAAAAAATGTATGGCATTTTTCATACAAATACACCATAATTTTATTTTCATGCTCATTTGTATAGAAAATAGTCAAATAGAAATTGTAATCCAATTTTTATTTCTGGAAAATTGAGATAAATTTATTTTTTTTTGCAATGATATCGGAAAATCCAATTTTCCCATACCATTCCAATTTTGCAAACACCCCCACCGCAAGAAAAATGAGTAACCAACCTCCTCGTCTTCTTGGCCCATATTAGCGACACTTGAGCGGATATTATCCATTCTACTCTCAGCTTCTCGGTCCAGTTCCTGTACACATCATGTCGTCATTTCTACTGTCTTACCATAACTCTGCCTACCTCTCTACGTTTCCTTTCCTCCTCCTCCCTAGCCTCGCGGTCGCGTCTCTCTCTTTCCACCCTAAGCGAGTGAAACATCCATTTAGCGACGTACATTACGACGATAATATGGTATACGAAATTTATACATTGGAGTTTCACCCGTGATATGAAAAACCTTAGTGAAAAACATATTTCGCGACTACTGCATAGGGCAAATATCACCTTTTTCACCGAGTTTTACGCCACTTCGCGTAGACCCGGGCGAAAGTCCATTGCATACACAGAGTGGTATATGATACTACTGATACCATACATCACTCTCTGTGCACAATATATAAATTTTATCTACTGCTCGAAGATTTTATAAATCTATAATGATAAAAAAATAGTAGCAAAACGACTCGATTTAGCGAAGCGTTGTTAAAACACACTTTATTTACACTTTTCCCCCTACCGCTCCTTCCTCTCCTCCACCAGCAACCTCATAGTCTCTTCGTGTTGACTCTGCGTCGACTCCAGTTTACGCAGCCAATCCTCCGCCTTCCTCGACTGAACCACAACACATTGATACCACAACTTCGATACACGCGTCTTACCGTATCCCGGAGATATTCAAAGTGCCTTTTGAAGGCTTTAGAGAATATGTCCTCGGGGGACTTCATCTCCTTCATAAATGCTGATAAAAGAAAAATGCACGTCAACGAGCATCGAGTGAGCCAAAGTAGATTCCAATAAATCTCACATTTCCATATATCACTTACTCTCAGGGTTGTTGATATACGTCACATTGAATATTTTCCGCTTCAGGATCCTCGGAATTGCTTGTGTTGGCGTCGTACCAGCGATGGTTTCAATCGACCGGAAATGCCCGAGGGCGCACCTCACCTGATCGAAAATATATTATATACTCGAGAGAGTTGTGGTGGTCAACTACATGTGCTGCTAAAAATATGAAAATTCTGAGGGAAATTTGGAAAAATTACCGCTACACAAAATCATGTTGATTTCTCCAATATAGCAGAGAAACTTACGAGCTCAGTTGAGGAAATCAAACATACACTCCCACACTGCGACAGAGTATTAGCTCACCATAAGTAGAGCTTTCTTAACCCATTCAGCTTGATTCTTCTTCGTACTATCCAGGAGTGATGCCGCTGCATAGTTTTCCAATACCATAGCAAGATTATATCTGCTACCCTATGAGCCACGCAGACCAGGCCATGCGATGCTCACTTGAATCGGAGGTTCTCCGGCCATATCACAACAGCCTCATTCAGCATTTCTATACTCTCATTGTGACGCTCTGCTAGGAAGTACCTGGATGAACCAATCCATAGAGATAACGAATATAATACTACTAGTTGAATATATGTTTCTTTTCCTCAGCTGAGCTCGAGGGTTTCCTCACTAATTATAGTTAAGTTTATATACAAAATAGTATAGAATTGTTCAGAAACCAATAAGAATTTCCCATAATTTCCATATTGCCATCAACACATGTAGTTGACCATGTGCTAGTGTCTATAATATCCCCAATAATGATTTTTCCTCCTTTACTCTCTATCTATATACATTCTACACAAGCGCCATAACTTACGCATTGGACAAGTAAAGCACCAGAGATTGCCTTATCGTGCCGTCACTCCCCGTATACGTCTTCATAGCGCCCTCATAACACTTCACAGCCCGACGTGCGGCCTGAATACCAACAACCATCAGCTTCCCGACTCATTCCCATGTACACCATACCGCTTGAGCCGCCGCTGTCATTTGTGGAGGAATCTGCAGCGCTCCATGGGACTTATCCGCTCTTTTTTTCTCATCTATCTCAGTCTTCACAGCATAATACTCATCAACGTAGAGATGACCAAGATTCGCCGAGGCCGCCCAGTTCCATCCTATGTTGAATAATCGTGATGAGATTCTCGCGGAGGGCAGTCTACCAATCGAATGCTCCTCCACTGAAGTCAATAGATCTATCGCCTGTTGTTTCCTGCCCCGATGACCCAGAACCTAATTTCATACCATAATTATTGCAATTCCAACCACCCAAGACCTACCGCGGCGATACCCATAATGGCCGACACCGCGTGGGGAGGCGACGAGGGAGTCCCATGAGGCGTACCGTGCGGCTTCGGTGGAGTCGATCCACTTATGGCCTAAACATTGAAAAAATATACTGGAATTTCACCACCCTAGTGATATGAAAAACACTAGTGATAAATATTTTACGACTACTGCATATTACCGCGAATATCGCGTTTTTCACGGAGTATTACGCCACTTCACGTAAAACGGGTGAAGCTCCAATGAGATCGATCCCATATCTCAGCAGCTACCAAACATGACCGACCGCTAGCTTACCTTGAGGTAGAACTTAACAGCCTTGTTCATGCTGTCCTTCTCATCGATTGGCGTTTTAGCATAATTAGATCTCACATGATCAACATGCATATCTCCGAGAAGCTGAGGAAGCGTAATTACACTACTACTACTACTACTACTACTACTACTACTACTACTACTACTACTACTACTCACCTCGTAGACATAAGGATCGCTATGAGATCCACAATTATCTCGAATAGTGTTTATACCGGCAGCAGCGTTATGCTGAATACCACCACAACAACAATGATCGTTTCCAACGTTACTATTGTGAAGCTACCAGTTTATGATGTTGCATAGAAGCTCTACATAGTGCTCCCATAGTATTGCCACCCTCCTCCAACGGTACCGTATCCATCGCTTTACGATACCTCAACAGGTTACAAAAACAATACGTTACTAACAACAACCGAGCTGTCCCTACCACTGCTCAGCCTTGACCAGATCTCCTTTGAAATTCTCATAGATTTTCCCTATACGTACCATCGCATCCGTGTAATCAGGCTGCCTCTCGAGCAGACGATGATATCTATCATCGCAACGCTGCATAGAAAAATAACGAAAAAAGTTTAACTCACGTTTTCAGTGCCCTATCGACACCAGTCATCCCTCCATGGGTCATCGACATAGCCTCGTAACAAAGCCCCTTATTGAACACTCGAGTGCCTGTGAGCAAGCATTGCCATGTAATATCCTCATAAATTCCTACGCCACAAAGCCCTGTATTCCTCAGCCTTATCATCATTCTCTGCCGCCTTCAGCATTAGTGCCTTAGCCTTGGCCAAGTCGTCCAAGGCACGTCGTGGCTCCTTAGACACCGATGCTCTGATCGCTCCTCTAGTTATCAATGCCTACAGCATATAACGCAGAAATTGCACCCCCAAAAGCTGACGACAGTATGAGAACAAAACTATAATTTACAATATAAATCTATCCTAAATAGTGTCCAAACTCTCATGCTTCTAAGCTCAGCTGAGAACTGCATTCATTTCGACTCTTTATTTCCAAAAATCTCGTCGATTTTAGAGTTTTCAGGAACATGCCAAACGTCCCCATTGCCTACACACCTGCACAACTGATATATCCTCCTCATTATTATCCTCCTTAGCAGACAGGAACTCATTCAGCTCCTTGAGGCATTGTCGAGCCTATTAAATAAAACAACAATGGAGTTTCACGACCGTGATATGAAAAACACTAGTGGAAAACATATTTCACCACGCGAACTTCGTGTTTCTCACCAAGTATTACGCCACTCCACGGGTGAAACTCCAATGCACATTGCAATGCTACCTCAGCCTTCGTCAACGCTCCCATGTTTTTCCCACCGAGAATGAGGGAAACATAAAGCTTATGGCGTTCGTAGTCCAAACTCCGATCGCTAGTACCATGCCTGAATCAACCGACCACAAATTTTTCACGCGCCACAAAATTATCGCATCTTACTTTTCCCTCGCCTGTTTAGCATGAGTAGTAACCCCTTCAACCAGTTCCAACGCCTTCTTCGTATCACTCGGCAACGGGGCGTGTCCCAATTGCCGCGCCAACAACAACGCTATAGAATCGTCAAACCGCAGACCTCCATGAGCCACAGTGTTATCCGTATTAGCCGCCGAGACCGCTTGCAACTGCAAAAGTTTCTTGCCGTGATGCACATGCATTTTCCTGCCAGTTTCGGAAGTATCATTAGCCGACGCCGCGATAAGCCCAGAAAGAGCCGTGCACGCCAGACGCTCCGTGCTTGGCAGCATAGACGGTATGGGCGTATCCTTCGTACTCGACGTATGTGAGTAATGTACACTCCCCAACGGTAACTGCTTAGTCGCTTCCTCATAAAGCCCTCTAGCTTTCTCAATATCCCCTTCTGCATGAGTAATCTTAGCCTTCAACAGACATATCTCGGTGAGTAATGGGCGTACCCCTTTACCACACGTTCGAGCCTCAGCCGCCTCAGCCTAGGACAATTTCACTAGTTTCCATCAACAGAGCGAGCTGAGCTTACCAGCCGCCTAGCTGTCCTAAGATACCTCTTGCGACTACTCTCATCCTCTTCCGCAGCAGCAAGCACCAGACTCTGAGATCAACCATGCCTCCCAGGTTCGATCCCCGCCCGGGGCATTTTTATTCCCACCTGTCGAGCTAATATGGTCAACGCCACCGGATGATCGCCTGCCTGCTCAGCGAACGCTGTTTCCTGCGCTAAATGCCCAGCGTCCAGGGACCTGTGCAGTAGCTCATACACTCCGTATGATAATGTGGGAATATTGTGAAAGTATTAGACTTTCGAGAAAATTTTGGTATATAAGTTCGTATATATACTCCTATACTGTAAGTAGTGCAGGAGCTCCCAAGTTCAACTGAGGCGAGCGAATACATACTCTAACACTGCCATATAAATTCCCAGTACTACCCATTCGAGCCCTCTCCTGCTTGCAGCACAGCAGCTGCCGCCGCCACCACATCCACATCTGTTCCTCCGCTCTCCTTACACACATTCAAAGCTCTAACAATAGCTTCCTGGGCCTTTGGGAGGTTGCCCATACGCATGTGGCACGAGGCAATACCTACGATCAATTCACCAACTGTCTTATACAGCCCATAATACTACCAAGTCTAGCCGTATTAGCAACCTTAGCGGTCGCTGGGTTCCGACTGCCAGCCATTTGCAATACCAATCTATACTCAACCAACGCCTCCTTAGGCTGCTCCAATAGCAACAGCGCCGCACCTAATACCACTCTTTCATCAATTCCAATTTGCTAGCCTTACCTCTGAGCAACCGTGCTCGGACCATATCAGCGATTCCCCCTTCATTAACCATCGGGCCCGCCTTAATAACGTTGCCAAGATGGGATACGCATTTGGTGAGGTACTCGTGACCAGTGATCGTACCACTCGAAGAGTCGGCCGTTCGTATATAACTGCTCAATGTAGGTATACAGTCAAATTCCGAACTGAGTATTAATACTTGCAAAATTCAGTCCAAGCTCGTGACAACCACGTTCGTGGGTCGAAAGGGTTGAGATTCTCTCCCCGTTGGTACATCTCCATAGACTTCTTCACTAAGGCAATAATACACCGTCACTCGCCACGAAATTACCCCACCTACTATTACCGGCCTCATCATCACCATCATACACAGCCTTCTGCATATAAGATGCTCCCATCGCATCATACATGAGGAACTGCATCTGGTGTAGTTGACTGGCATACATCTGATACCACAACGACAATGACACACATCGAATAATTGCAGATCACAGCTTTTTGAGACTTTAACGCCTTCACAGTACTACAGTACAGATTAGACGGCAGTAAATCTAATACTTTTCGCCGATTCCTATAAAAACTATCGTTAAAAATCGACATCTCGTTTAAATTCACGGATAGTCTATTTACCGATGAGCAGATAACACAGGGATGATTTTGATGGGAAGGATCAAACTGAATGCTGTGTATCCAAACGCCCCTCGAAACCTTCACGACAGATTTTCATCATGCGTAATGAGCTCAGCTCTACCGCTCCCCAGTGAACTCCTAACGATGCGATCAACCCGTTTACGGAGTAATAGATTCAATCCCCAACTGTCTCCCATAAGACCTGAATGCTCTCAAGCTCCTTATCAGTAGCAGCCTCCAACACTTTCATCATATTCTCCGTATCGTTCCTTTGTCGGAAATACTCTATCGCCAGGGCATGCCATAACTTCAAGGGCACGAGCTCCATCCGGAGTAGGTCGAGAATCTTATCGCCGTCGTCGGGCAGGTCTTTAGTATTCAGAGATACCCAGTCATCAGATGAATCCACTGGGAAGTATCTAATACGCAAAAAACAATGGAGTTTCACCCGTGATATGAAAAACATATTTTACAATTCACTTATATTATCGGTCGTGAACACATACACGTTTTATAATTCACATGGAGTATTACGCCACTTCACGTTGAACTCCAATGATCGAGAGAATACGCCAATAACAAGTGAGAACCTCATATTAACACCACCGACTGGAGCTCCAATGAACCAGCCCGACTTACAAAGTGGATTCGCCGTCGTACGGAGAGGCTCTGGCAATGCCGCCGCCGCCACCGCTCATGAGGAATTGTCAATATTAATGATTCGTGAATGGATGAGAGTAAACTTGCACACTCTTGCATTCTTGAAGCTTCCTCAGCTCCCTAACACCTTCCTCCGAGGAAGGTGCCCGAGGAAGTTCCTCGTAAAACTAAAGAGTCAAGGCTAATCACTAGAACTTGATTGTAGCTTCTCAGGGCGTCAGACTATAAAGTCTATAGTACTTGCTTATCATGACAAAGTTTTTGGATAGCTTAATCAACCCGGATAGCAGTGATAAGCTCATTTATGGTATTCTGAGAATACCATACACAGAGAAGCGGCAGAGAAAACTCTTCCCTGTGATTCTGGAGGTCTATAGTACAGACCTCTGGAATCACAGAGAAGATAGTAGTATGGACTACTTTCAAGACTAGACTACTTACATTGAAAGAAGTATAGACTCTATACTACTCTATATAAGCGTTTTACCATCTTCTATCTCAAACTCTCGTTGTTGACCAGTTCTCTGTATATGCTAAAGTACCCATTATTGAATCAGTAATAGGGAAGTTGCTATCCAGTACTTGAGAGATGTGAACCCTACTCAAGGCACTGCATATGCTAATCGCGCATATTGCATTTATTCCACAGTCAGCAACTTCAATGTGACCGGTAGCGGCTACCGGGTAGCCTTCAACTCAGCACGGGCTTGTTCATGATAATTACTATCACGTATGCTTAGCACCCTCCACTGTTCTCGTAGTACACAGTGTTGCATTTTGATCGCTGCATAGAAGGAGTCTTTATGACAGAACTCTTACCCTATCCTAACTAACACGGAAGCGGAGCGTTCACAGTTCGGTGAAAGAGTGCACACGAGGGAAGCGCATGTCGAGTAAGGTCGAGCTACTACGAGTAATTGGGCACGCTTAACACAACAGCTAAGTTGTCGTTGGTTTTCGTCTTCCTCGGGTCGATTTGCTCGATAGCACTGTTCCGAGAGTGAGAAAAATCCAGATGGTGACGTTCAGGAGAAGCCGAACATGATATTCACCATTCAACATCTAGCTCAGTCAGTAAGACCGTTGGGCTGATAAAGCGGAGGTCATAGGATCGATCCCTTGATCGCTCCTATCATTTCAAGTGCGTTCTTCACGAGAACATGCCTGTACGCATTCCCGCCTGAGGCACCCAGCAGGCCAGCCAAAACCACCCAGAGGTACTAGTCTTTCACAATTCTCGACCCACTCCTATACTTTACTCATACACACAACATCATACGTCGAGGCGTGAAGATATAACAAACAAGAGGCGATAATGAACAGGGCCATTCGGAGGGTAATACCATCAATCTGACAAAACAACTATCGCTGACATATCCTCCCAAGCAGCCATCATACGGCAAGTTCCCTCTTCCTCCTCATGCTCTCCAGCATCCGGCCGTGAGCACAACCCTGACGTCTTCCGATCCGCATGTGGCACCTCCTCAGGCCTCCATGGTGTCCAAATATACTGCATAGGTCCAGGAGGAAGTGTTGGAAAATATCGGCTACTCGAGCTGCTACCAACACCGAACATTTGCCGCCATGCTGCTGGTTGAGATGAATGAGGAGCGCCTTCCGGTAGAACAGCACTACTAGCGTTTAATTCAACCTGAGATGTGAGGCCACAGACAAGAAGAGGCAACAACGTTGATGATAATAGCCAATTCTAATCGAGATAGAACTATCCACTCCTCACAAGAAGTGTCAATGGCGATCCCGAGACCATGCCGTCCCCAACCGGTGGTACCTCACCTTGAGCGGCGGAGGCAACAGAGGTTGGGCCATAAGCAGTAACAGCAGCGCCCCCAGCACTGGTATAAGACACCCCGCGCAAAGAACCCTGAAGTGGGGCAAGGCATCATGTACGGTTAAACTAGCCATAATAGTACTCACTGGGCGAGTGTGACGAGCCCAGACATCTCACTGGCCGACTCTAGCTGCCTCTCCTTCTCCTTCACTTGACTATTGGCCACCTCTAAACTCTCTTCTCGTTGTTTCCTAAATGAGGATGCTGCAGCGACCGACGTCCCTCTCAGGTCGCAACGAGACGGCTTTTCCTGTACGTATTTCGGCGCGGCTCAATGTTCACCCGTAGAATATAATAATAGAGTTTCACCCGTTCAACGTGAAGTGGCGTAATACTCCACGTAAAGTTGAGACCCGTACGTCTTCATAAGCGACAACACCATTGTTTTCTGCGAAGTGAATTTTGAGATATATTTTCACTAGTCTTTTTCATATCACGGATAGAACTCCAATATATAACTCTTATCTATAATAAGCAATATCAATATTATAAACTATACTTCGTGAATACCCAAATTCCTAGATATAGGCTTTGCATCAACAGCTCGTTAGGATTTACCCTTTGCACGCATACCCATATTACAATTGCTCCTTCACAGTATCATTCTCCTCCTCCAACGCCTTGTACGCTTTCTCCAATGATTGATATTTCCTCCTCAGCTTAGCCATATCCGCCGACTCTCGAGCTACTCTCCACTCCTTCGTATCAGCTGTAGACGATGTTGAGTCAATACGGCTACTCGACAATCTACGTCGCCTTGACGATAACGATGCACTGACCAGCAACAACAGCGTCAATTCCATGGCAATGCCTTGTTCAGTATAACCCCACGTCAATGGCAAACTTTTGACTCACAGACTTCAGAGCAGATACGCGGCACAGTCCACTTTCAGTGTATGAGAATCCCCACAGTGCGAGGCTCATACAGCGCGATTTCAAATTCGTATCACACAATGGAATTCAGCCTAGTAAACTGATCAACAAGCCCCGTTCACCTCCTAGCACTATCGTATTCCTCTCCGGACTGGACATCCACCAGAGCGTCTCGTGCTGCTCCTACCGTACGGCGACGACGACCACGCTGCTGACTCGCCCAAATCCGACCGAAAATCCAGTCTAACGGGTTAAACAAAAATCCGAGAAGAATGTCTTGATGATTATTAAATAAAAACACAAGTGCCTGCTGGCCATCTCTTGAGGACAACACTAACTCAACCCACACTGTATTTCCTTTATAGAGAATAGTCGCAAAGGTAAGACGAGTTGCTCAAGGCCACCCATTCCAGCATAGCTAATCGAACCCCTGGTCGTAGATGAGCCTCGATGAGAGAGAGATAACAGTGAGTGCCTATTGTTCCAAGTTCAGTCATGCATACTAACAAGTTACTGATCCACGACTGTACAGAATACCGCAGTGAGAAATGCCATAAAAATGCCAACGACGTACACATCTCCACACTGTTGCATTCAGATGATGATATATTACATTATTATCAGCAGCTTATCACTACTGCCATAATTACGAGAGGCTAGAAATTATTATTTCCTGTTCGCCACGACAGTCTTGGCGACCTGGGGAGCCTTCTTACGGTGACCAGTCCGAAGCACTTGCTTGGTCAAAGACTTCTTATAGTCCTCAATGCTGCCATCCCACCTCTTCACACCATGATCAACCACCCAGATCTCCTTAGCCACTTGAGAGATAAGACGGAAGTCATGACTAACAAGAACGAGACCGCCGTTGTAGTTGTTGATAGCCTTTGCCAAGGAGTCGATACACGACATATCCAAATGATTCGTCGGCTCGTCCAATAGCAGTACATGAGGGTTAGAGAGAGCGACCAAGCAGAATGCTACTCTAGCTTGGAAGCCATGACTCATAGTCTCCATAGGTTGAGTTTGCCACTGCCCAGTGATACCGAACTGCCCGAGCTTTGATCGCCACTCCTCGATATCCAGCACCTTCTTACCCTCCACAGTGGCAAGGCCATCAGCAAACTTGTCCCGCATAAACTGTAAAGGCGTCTTAGTGAGATCGAGCTGATCCGTAGAATGCTGATTGAACCTTCCCCACCGTAAATGAGCATGACGTGAAATTGTTCCGAGATTAGGTTCCAACTTTCCCTCCATTAACTTTAGCAATGTAGTTTTACCAGCACCATTAGGACCCACCAAAGCCACTCTCGAATCGAGATCAATACCAAAGCTTATATGCTTGTACAAGATGTCCTTAACCTTGCCACTGTAAGCGAACGTGACATCGTTAAACGAGCACACTGGAGGGGGCAACCTGTCGCACTCCGGGAAGCGGAATGAGTACACTGGATCCGGCACAGGCTTTTCAGTGAGGCCAGCCTCGACCATCTTATCGATAATTTTCTGCTTAGACTGAGCCTGGCGTACAGCTTTCTCCATACCACCACTAGTAGCAATAAACTGCTTCAAATGCTTGATGTCATCTTGCTCCTTTTTCCACTTCACCATCTGGTTGGCCTCATTCTCAGCACGCGTGCGCACGAACGTATCATAATTACCACTGTAGTACTCAAAAGTGCCCTGGCAAGTCAAATGCCATATATTCGTACATACACCGTTGAGAAAATCTTGCGAGTGCGATACCATAACGAGAATCTTCTCGTACTTTGACAAGTAGTTTTCCAACCAAATACATGCCTCCAAATCGAGATGATTCGTCGGCTCATCCAGCAACAACAAAGTCGGTTTAACAAACAACGCCTGGGCGAGCGCTACTCGCATTCGCCAACCACCACTCATATCTTTCGTTTTTTTCTGAATCATATCCTCCTTGAAACCAAGACCAGTGAGGAGCTCTCTAGCCCGAATCTCGAAGGTCTGAGGGTCCAGCTCGTCCAGACGAAAACCGATCTGCTCGACAAGATCAATGTTCTCAGGATGGTTCTCCATAATATCCATCATAAGTGCCTCGAGCCTCTTCTGCTCCGTCGCAACATAACTGATAACGGCCTCGAGAGCAGTCTGCTCTGAAGGCGGATATTCTTCATGTAGTAGCCAAATATCAACATAGTCAGGAATATCAACCTAAAAGAAACAACACGTAAATGATCAAACTTCAATACGGTGACTGTACTCACCAAACGAGCGGCCAAAGCTTGCAAAATGGTACTCTTTCCGCTGCCATTGAGACCGATCATACCATACCTTCGCCCCATGTTGAGCTCAAGAGTGGTATCTTTGATGTACTCCTTGCCCTCGATAATCATACTGAACTGCTCAATCTTGATGTCCTTGGCCAAGTACTGTGACGTGCGGTGACCAGTGATAGTAGCATGCTGTAGAATCTCGGGCTTCTCGATGGCACTTGCCTCGTTGATTTGCTTCTCCAGCTCGGCCTTGCTGTCCACTGACTGAAACAACAATAGTGTGGGAAAATATGCACATGGTCAACAACATATGTCGGTGACAATACGAAAATTCTCCTTCTACTGTACACTCCTAAAATTGCTAAGGGAACTCCTGAGCTCAGCTGAAGGGACCAAACATACATTCCAACACTTAACAACAACAGTTCAACAAATAGGCTTATACCTCTTCATCGCTTTTAGTGGATTTGTATCCGCGTCGTTTTTCCATAGCCTTTTGCTTGGCTAGTTTTTTACGTTCGGCCTCGCGCTTGTTAACCATGGAGTAGGAGTAAAAAGGAAAAAAAACTACCCCGACAATACGACGAATAAACTAATCTCGACTCTGGAAAAATCAGTTTCGATATTGTCTCGACCTTCTAACAGTAGTTTGCAAAACCCGGAATTTGAGTCCGTAGCGCAGCGTCACGCGCCACAAAACTATTTGATACTTCTCATCCAGACAGTTCACTCCATGGTATAGTCGTTCTACCACAAATTCAGCCACACCAACCAAGATACGCTAGCCTAAAGTTGCCTTTATGAACTCGACGTTGTCGTATCGATTAGCTGGGCGTGCGCTACTTGCAAAAACAGAATCTCGCTCGCCGACAGCTTGATCGATACTACAACTTCCCTCCTCGAGAGTCAGTTCAACCAACCCCCATCACAATGAAGAGAGGTAATACGGTATGCGGCATAGGCCTAGTTGTTTTGGGATTCGCCGGCGCACTATATCATGTTTTGTTTGACTAGGAGCACGTTTACCTTTCGTATTCATTCTAGTAACTTCGTATATGCGACATTATTGAGTATCGGAGATTGCATCTGGTCGGATATTGGATTTGTGAATATCTTCATTTTTTCTTAGGACGCGGATCCGGAGGCGCTAAGATGCGCATCACCCTTGGTCTCAACACCGGTGCTATCCTTAACTGTGCCGATAACTCTGGTGGTAAGAACCTCTACACCATCGCTGTTAAGGGCACCGGTGCTCGTCTTAACCGACTCCCTGCCGCCAGTCTTGGAGACATGCTCATGTCCTCTGTCAAGAAGGGAAAGCCCGAACTTCGTAATATTCTTTCTCGAAAATTCCTTCCCGACTTGTGTTTATTCTAGGTAAGAAGGTCCTCCAGTCCGTCGTGATCCGTCAGCGTAAGGCGTGGCGCCGTCGCGAGGGTGTCTTCGTCTACTTCGAGGACAACGCCGGTGTTATCGTCAACGAGAAGGGTGAGATGAAGGGCTCCGCCATCACTGGTCCCGTCGGCAAGGAGTGCGCCGAGCTCTGGCCCAAGATTGCCTCTGCTGCTCCCACCATCGTTTAAATCTCTTAACGTTGTGTGATGCTGTTGAGTGGTCGACATCAGACGACCTTTCTCTTGGGGGGAATTATGTATGGTGAATTGAGTTTAGTCATTTAGTAGGAGAGGGTTTCTCCTTGGTCTCTCCGAGAGACTAAAATTTTCCATTGGATGGTAACCGTAGCAATTTGATGGTTAGCGAAGGGCGTTAATAAAGCTTAGGCCTTGTTATTAGGGGAAATCATATTCATATAGTACAGAAGTAATTTTGAGAGGAAACCATCAGAGCTTAGTATTCAGCGCAACTCTTCATCTTATCGCTGAAGTTATTTCTTTACATGGAAATAGTACGAAAATGACGTTTTTTCCCAATAATCTTATTCTATTGAAGATTGGACAATTTTCGAGCTGACTCCTTCCGGAAGCTCGTCCAGAATCATCATGATGCTGTCCTGCAACATCTCGACGACTTCTCCTGGTCTGTCGCCAATCTCTGTTAATACTTGGTCACCTGAGCTCATCAAATACTCTACTTCAATTCACGAATACATAACGTTCTACCACTATTTCCAATGCCATGCTCAGTCGCAATAGGACGCAAAATAGTGAGTAAATGACGAAGAGCGTCGACCTATAGCAATACTATGGCGATTTGTGTCCATCCATTTACCACGCGTTCTTCGGAGTGTTTCGCAATGAGCACAGAGGCAGGCGAAGATGTTAGATAGGTCCACCAAGTGTCGTTTAACTCTCGTTGTAGTAACTGAATCTGGTCGGATGGAAAAGAGTTTCAATCAACTCTCACCGTAATAAGGTCTGTCGTTTTGTCGAGTACTGTCACATCGGTGTCACCATGGTGAGATGGTGAAATTAAGTCATCGTACCTTGAACTGGGAAGATGTGACTAACACGTGTTCGTCGAAAACTACTATAACTAAACGAGTGTTAAATGACCCCTAGACAACAGAACGGAAAAGGCTGTTGAACTCTGAGAAATATTTCCGACCCTTTTAATAGAGTAGCCTCAGTTGACGCTTTCGGACGACTGCGCGGAAACACACGAGCTCGCTCAAACCTGAGAACTCATCAGCTTTCAAAAGTGTTCGCCTAGCGGCATCATCACGCATGAGCAGCCACTTCGTTATTTGGCTCATCGTCCTGTGGTACTGGTGTCGAAGCGCAAAGTTTTAATAGGGAAAACTCGGCCTGATATAAGTCCATACATACAAGCCATAGAGAAGCTCTATAATGCACTCTGCGCTCTTTAACACGGACAACTGCATCAATTGCGTCCACTTGGTCGAACTCAGTATCGATCTCCTTGAATAGCTGCGACAACCTCTTTTCCTCTGCTGCTATCTACATCCCTACAGTCACTAAAATGCTAAGCATAGGCGCGTACATCATACCTCGGATAGCATTGCCTTGACTTTATATGCAGAAGCGGCTACTGTCTCTTCTACGCCGTCCGAAGACTGTTCGATCTCTTCCTGGACATCACAACGAGTGCCAATCGCGCATGAGTCGTCACTTTTCACATCAGCTGAAGAGCTCTCTGACTCCGACTCGTTACCGTCTTCCGTTGGGGAGTCAAGTTCTTCCTCGGTGAGCAGAGGTTCTCTATTTCTGGCTCGATTGAACGCCTCCGAAGATCTAACATGAACATCGCAGTGGGCCAATGAGGACGACCTCTTGCCTGTAGGGCACTGTTGTCGCTGCTTCGTGGAGGCACATAAGGAGTCTGTTAGTCTTATCAGGGTCTCTACCACAAATAACTGATACGAACAAGGTGTGGTTACAGTTTGAGAATCGCCTTCAGGGTATAGCTGGACACAGAGACTTCAAAAACGTGTCCGGATGATCAACTTATATTAGCACATACCCTACATACAGGGCCTCCTAAGGCGTGTCCGGATGATCAACTTATATTAGCACATACCCTACATACAGGGCCTTCTAAGGCGTGTCCGGATGATCAACTTATATCAGCACATACCCTACATACAGGGCCTTCTAAGGCGTGTCCGGATGATCAACTTATATTAGCCATACCCTACATACAGGGCCTCCTAGAGGCGTGTCCGGATAAACATAGCATATACACTGCAAACAGGGTCAGTACGGATGGTATGCGCGTAACAGAAGTGACTGTATTATAAGCACCGCTAAATCTCACCTTTCGAAGGGTCTACATCAATCCTTCGATGTAACGCGTGCTCTATACTAGAATGCGATAGTGTGACGAACTCCAATTTAGCTTCTCGTGTCACCACTCGCTCAGCAGAGATCTCTCTTACTATCTCTGCTCCTGAGGCAAACACCAAGTTGGCAGTGTGCATCACGGTAGTCCACAACTCACCGAATCCCGTCACGATAGAGACCTCCATCACAATATCATACAAAAACTTCACTGGGGGTCGCAATAGGAGCTTTTCGGTCAGCTTAGGTCGGGCAATCAGTGCGCCAAGGTTCCGCTGATTTTGTGCTATTAGTTCTGATAGCATCCTTTTATCAGTTTGTTCAGCGGGGTGGGGATCAGCTGAGGACTGATCCCGCTCTCTCGCGCTGTTCACTTCGTTGGAGACCCTCTCGGTTGCATTACCACACTTCGATGGGTCAATCATAAATAACTTTCGTATACATACTGGGAAAATTATTCCTTTGTGGTTTGATCCTCGCTTCCTGGGCAACCTGTCAACTATATTATGCATGATATTAATTGTTGGAGTTCATCGCGAACTGTGAGCCTATTCTTAGTGGTTGTTTGTATGTTGCACCTCAACTCTACTTCCCTGTATTGCGATACTCTACCCCAGAATCTGGGGCCCAGATCAACCGACTTGCGTGCTGCGATCAGCCCCTACACTGGGGTACGACGCGCCGTCGAAAGAAGCAGATACAGTACGCACCATATAGATACTCAAAATACGTATGCAGAGGTAACTTTTTCAGAAAAAGTTTTTCTCCACAGAAACGACTTTCGAGCTAAAATTTCGAATTTGAAGCCCTATCATATAATTATACTTTTTTGCACGTATCTGACCTTGATTTGAACCTGCGCCACCCTTAATTAACACACTCTACAACTATTGATCATCCAGACATATAATAGGACTACATGGAATGATAGGGTGAATCCTAACAGCACATTACACAGCAGTATTATATAGAAAAAATTATGGAAAACTACAGCAGGCAGCACTCAATCAATCTTTGCCTGCTGTACTAGTAACCAGTGTTGGAACAGATGTCTGCTTCCCTCAGCCCAATTCGGGAGTTTCCTCATCGTGTAATGTGAATTTACACACGATTTAGGGTAAAAGTGTACAGCAAGAATTGCCCAAAGAGATTTCCCAGAATGTCCACACCTTCTCACTGGAGCTGCTCTCCCGTCGGACGTTGTGTTCGTCGTTGGACACCTATGCTGCAAGGGCTGTGCACCGGGCACTCCCTAACTCAAGTCAAGGCATCTGTTCAGCGCAGTTATTTTACCGTTTCGAAGTCTGCCATTACCGAACCACACTGGTCCGGAAATGCCTTTGGCAATCTTAGTGAGAGTATCAGCAAACAATGACGCTATGAACACTACATGGCCCGTCAATATGTGTAACCCGATCGCGCCAACCTGACACTGCTAATCCCACTCAACTAACGGCCATTAGTCTTTCTAACATCCCACTCCGCATCATCACTGTAAAGCTCAGGGTCTGGACCACCAACGTTAATCGCGCTTCACTATGTCGTAGGCGCCGCCTAGCTGATCTAGTTCCTGAGTGGGAAGCATATGTTACACGGTGCTCACTGGTCAGGTTAAGCACAACAGGACATTCAGCACTGCTGAATCAGCAGCAACGTGAAGTTGCTTGCTCTCCTCCTGTTCACTCCCAGGTATGTCAGGCTCCGTTGTAATGCACATGAGTCATGTCCGGTCCCATTCCAACTAACGTGAGCCATGTCCGGCCCCAATCCAACTAACGTGAGCCATGTCCGGCCCCATTCCAACTAACGTGAGCCATGTCCGGCCCCATTCCAACTAACGTGAGTCATGTCCGGCCCCAATCCAACTAACGTGAGCCATGTCCGGCCCCAATCCAACTAACGTGAGTCATTTCCGGCCCCACTCTAACTAACGGGAGCCATGTCCGGCCCCAATCCAACTAACGTGAGTCATGTCCGGCCCCACTCTAACTAACGGGAGCCATGTCCGGCTCCCTTGTAATGAAGATGAGCGATGTGCGTAAAAAATGAAGCTACAGTCGTGGGTGATAAATATACATTCTCATATTTCTTCTACAGTTCTCAATAATATGATTCGACTCCAGCAGAATCACCTCCATGTATGCAGTACACTCGCTTGAACCACCTCTTTCTCTTAATTCCTCTCATGTCCTTTCACTCTGCATTTCGATTTCACGTTGTGCGTGCTTCTGTCTCCCAATGTCGTGCAAATCCTGCACTTAGGTAATTTGTTGTCGAAGATGACTCAACAAAGCGAGTCAGAAAAAATATTGTTTAAAACCCTCAGCAGGCGGTAAGGTTGATAAAGCGTGATCAACCTCCTCAAGGTTGATGATCGTTTCACTTCTGACTCGTATAATCTACCATGTCAGACGTGTATAATTATGTTTCCACAAAATGCACCTCAGCATTGTAGGAGCGTAGCGACGGGCCTCCGGCTCATAGTATTGGTATGATCTGTGTTAGCTAGTGGTATCATCGGTTGAGTTACAGGGATTATTGCGGGCTTTAGCGCAACTTCCATCGTCGGTCGATGCAATCGATATTCATGCAGGTTTATTTGTCGTTGTTGATAATACCCTTCAAAATTCATTCCTAAAAAGGAAAATATATGGATTTCGAAAACTCCTTCATCCTAGGCTATGCCCTGGGAATCTTCGTCCTGGCATGCGTCTCTATCGGGTTTGCCATTTATCGCATCGTCTACTGTGGGCGTCTCGTCAAGAACCGCCTTTGTGACGACAAGAGATCAGGTCAGCCTCTTGGGGCTCGTCGACTCACCTTCCACTCCACCGAAGAGGACAAGGAAAAACTGCTGCTCCAATCAGGCTTCAAAACTTCTCTCGTGGGCCAGAGCATACTGGTTGGTTGGTTCGCAATGATGATAGCAGCTTTCATAGCGATGGTTGTCTTGGCGACTGTCAGCTACTACTACGACATCTACACCTCTTGGGGTACCGACTGGAACGGTATAATGGGGCCTTACATTGTGGTTTTCGCCATCTTCCACATCATAGTAGCGTTCATGATACAATTTTACGATTCTATCAGGACCAAATTCATGTTGCCGGAAATTGACCTTGGCGAAGCCACTCACGTATTGATTGAAGAAGAGGTTCCTGAGATGGACGATTCTGATATGCTTGACCCTGGCATGGCGAAGGAGGAGCGAATTCCGAAAGTCTTCCTGAACCTCATTAACGCTTGGCGCGGTTTGGTTTTGCGATACAAGCAGGCCTCACGCAAGACGTTGATAAAGATTCAAAATGAGGACGGTGATAGGACTATAGAATACACTTGTGTACGTTACTACTATGATGGAGGATCAGATCGATTCCGACCAGTTGGCCGCGATGAGAATGTGTCCGTTGCCGAAGCAGTGAATTTGGTGAACGCCGGGGGATTGTCTGAGCCCCAGGCGGATTCTACTAGGAGGGTCGTGGGCACGAACGAGATCCGTGTCAGGGTCCCCGGGATATTTGAGAGTTTAATCACTGAATTCAGCAGTCTGTTCTACGTGGTTCAGAGCATGGGCTCGTGGACGTACCTCGGGTATAGCGGGTGGAACGTTGGTTTGGTGTGGTTACTCATGATGATCGTCACTGGTTGCATCAAGGCACTCTTCATCGTGCGGAAAAGTCAGAAGAAAATCTCCAGGTTGGCTCAGCATAGTGCCGATGTGAAAGTGCTGCGAAACTCTTGTTGGGTAGTGGTGGACTCAAAGGAGGTCGTCCTTGGTGATATCATCATGATCGAGGAGCAGGAGAATCTGCCTTGTGATGGATACGTCGTGGGCGGTACGGTGGTTGTGAACGAGTCCATGCTCACTGGCGAGCCTCTGCCGGTCCAGAAGGTTGCTGCTGAGAAATATGACGGAGCGAAGTTTGCTGCTAAGAATATGGTTTATGCAGGTGATTATCCGGGATGAAGGTATTTCCCATAAGTATAAATTGATCATGTGAATTCGATTTTCTTATGTCGAGTCCCCGAGGCCGACGAGTCTTGATGTGGTATTTTGAGGCCTGCTCAGGTACCCTTTGCATGCAGTCGACAGGGCCACACCTGGGTCATGCTGTGATGGTGGTCACGGCGGTTGGCGGGCTCACAAGCAAAGGCCAACTGGTCCGGATGGTCATGTTCCCTCAGTCAGTGAGGTAATACGGCTCGTACTGATCATTGCTCGCTCGTAGGTGTTGTTTCTTAGGTTCAAGTACCATGACCAATTACCGATCGTATATGGTATCATGTTCGCCTATGCTATATTGTTGTCTATACTCTACTTCGTCCTTACTGATATGGGAGATTGGATTGTTACTATATTGCAAGTGTTGGTTACAGTACTACAATCGCTGAATCCTATGCTACCAGTAGCGATGGTTATGGGTCAAACAGTAGCTGCCAAACGTTTACGTAATCATCATAAAATATTCTGCCTTCAACCTGAGAGGATACCAGTAGCCGGTAAGATCTCTATTATGGTATTCGATAAGACCGGCACTATCACTAAGGACGGGATGGAACTGTCCGGAGCCGTACCAGTGGAGAACGGCGTTTTCAGTGAACGCGTAGATCTTAGCTCGACCACTGAGAGTGCCAAGCTATGTGGTTCTATGACGGTGAGTGATAAGGTAGCCCAGTCCCCCCTACTACTGCAGTATGGCCTGGCAGCGTGTCATACAGTGACGTCTCTGAGGGACGGTCAACTGGTTGGCAATCAGGTAGAGGTCGCCATGGTTAAAGCCTCGGGTTGGTCACTCCCGGCTGTTGGTAGTGCTGATATGCTCTTCTCGTCTCCTGATGGTTCGTCTCAATTGAGGATGGTTCGCCAGCTTGAATTCGAACACACCCGTATGACCAGTGGATGCGTCGTTAGAGACGGGAAGGGGGACCTTATTGTTATTGTGAAGGGCTCTTATGAGAAGGTCCAGGCTGAATGCGATGATGGTGCAGTCCCTGGCGACTATGTTGATGTTTGTGAGAGGCTGTCCTCGGGTAACTTCTATGTACTCGGTATGGGCTCTAAGGTACTCGATCCGAAACTGGCTGATGATGATGTGTTGAAGATGACCAGAGACGAGTTGGAGGCGGGACTGTCACTTGTCGGTCTGCTGCTCTTCAAAAATGAGGTTAAGCCGGATAGTGCATTGGCTATCAGTATGCTACGGGAAGGGGATATCCGCAGTGTGGTGTGTACCGGTGATAATCCATTGACTGCCATTGGTATATCTAAGGAGGTTGGTATAATAGATGATACCAAGCCCGTATTACTTGCTCATATCGTTACCAAGGATAAAGGAGGATCATCTCTGGTGTGGTCTGATCCCGAGTCAGGTGACGAGATGACTCCAGTGAAAGGAGTCCATCAGTTAGTGGTAACCCGTGGGGCGTGGAGGTATCTCTACTATGAGGAACCTGATGAGTTGGAGAAGTATTGGTATGATATACTAGTTTACGCTCGGATGAAACCGTCTGATAAAGTATCGGTCGTTAAATGGTATCAATCACATAAATTGGTAGTTGGCATGTGTGGTGATGGTGGTAACGATTGTGGTGCCTTACGTGCCGCCCATGCTGCAATGGCATTATCCCAGGCTGAGGCGTCAATGGTGTCACCCTTCAGCTCATGCCGTGATGGTTGTAGCCTCATTACTGTAGTGGACCTTATACGTGAAGGTAGGGCTTGTCTAGCTACTAACCTGGCTACTTACTCCTACTACATCGTATATGCTTTTGTGCTCACCGGTGTGAGAATCTCTGGTACCATCATCGGCAATAACAACCTTGGCGAGTGGGTCTATCTTATGACCGATCTTCTCCTCGGTGTCGGGATGGTGTGGACGATGACCCTGTCCGGTCCCACGAAGAAATTGGCTGCCTATCGGCCCACAGCGTCACTGCTTGGCTGGAGGACCATATTGTCATGTGCCGTCCCCATCGTGTGCTCTTACCTCTGCCAAATTATAGCGTATGCTATCCTCTGGTCGCCCAAGAACGCAGATTGGTATTACTATGTCAATACTCTGGATTTAAACATTCAGGCTAAGGACTGGACTAAGAAAGGCGACAACTACGACTCAGCTGTTCAGGTGTTCGTCCTGCTTGTCATTTTGGTCACACACTGCTATACTGCTTCCTATGGAGGGGCCTTCCGCTGCAACATCTTACGTAACTGGAGCTTGAATATATTCTACCTGGCATTTACTGCACTGAGCTTTGCCCTCCTCTGGGTGGACCCGTGTGATTTGTCTTGTGTATATCGCGTTAGCTGCGACAGTGGGGCTTCTCTAGCCACTGGTGAGATCCCGTTCGTGAGCCAGTTTTCAGTAGGCAACATCGGTGGATGCTTCTTGGGTACGCAGATTCATCGCTATCAACTGCTCGGCTTTCCCAACTGGACCCCCGACTCGAGTGACGAGTGCATGCCTCCACAGGCAGCTCTCGATTTGCTACCCTATGATAGCCCGGAAATCTCGACGCTCGGATATGATGGTCCGAATAACGTATTCTCCACAGGCTACAGAATTGATGACACCATTATATTGGGTTCGGCCGTTGTCTTCCTCCATCTCTTTGTCAAGGTTGGTTTGCTTGGCCCAGTTGCCGGCATAATTCGCCGTTGGCAAGGGTCCAGGAAGGCTTCAGCTCATCCTCTTCCCTAGCTGGATCCTTTCGCCTCGCTTGAATCCACAGTGTGGTGATTGCACTGTATGGAATTCGGTGGTTGTAGGATACAACACTGGTCAGTAGTAGTAGCTTATACTACTGTGGTCTTATTTCTGTGTTTCTTCCTATCTGAAGTCGCTTCTTGCTCAATTGCACGTTCGACAAGCTTTTGCCTTCGCGCGCCGCATAATTGACGAAGGGTCAATTCCGGCACCCATTATGATGTTAACGGCTGGCTAGAGCCTGTCCCTCGTTGCCTAAACAGCTACTGCCATAGTTGTCACGAGTGCTGTTTGTTCATCATCAGTTTCTCGTTCTACTGCTTCAACTGTAGTTTATCACTTACTATCAGAATAAGGCACCATACCTTCGTCTCTTTCCGTTGCATGTATCTCTTGTGTTCTGCAGTCCTCAATTTCCTCGCCGGAAAAGGGTCTCCGAATTGCCGTATGTCCCACAGCAGCTCAGGTTGATTCTCTGTCCCATGTTTCTTTCCCGGGCGAGCGACTAGTCTCACCGTGCGGATCTCGTGCATTCGCCGGACCCTTCTGGTAAGTTACTCAGTAAAAGTGATAACCTATTCCGTCTGATTTTGTTATTATTATCGCTGATTCAGCACGCCTTGTATTATCCCTATGAAAACTCCAATTTTATGAACATATCCAGTTGTATTATATCCCCTCCAATTCCATGGTATGTATCCGAGTCATGTGGTGTATGTCCCTACCTGATGGAGTCTTCATCGGATGGGAGCATCCACCATGTTATGGGGTTCCTATCATGGGGCATGCTCCACTGTCAGTTGCAGTCTGCCACACGTACGTCTATTACACGTCAATAGCAAAAGCAGTCTGCATTGCTATTGACGTGTTATACCTACGGCTCATGACATCGAAGAAGTCGACGAATGGTCTGCAGACGTTCACTCACGAGTCCATATTCTCTATCCGGAGGCAATGTGGACCTCATTATATATTCTTCAGGTTTCGGTCGGAGAATCCGGTGGTCGCGGATAATTCTCTGTAGCCGATAGTCGGCGCACATTGAATGTGCCACATTCCGAAGTTAGTTGCTTCAAGCAACTTGCTTGTGGTTTTGGTTACCATGGGGAAGTTGCCCACGAAACGAGGATGTATCTGGCATGTCAGCACGGTTTCGCATATCGATAATGGTGCTCGAACCACTGTAAAAGCGTTCAATGATGCCCAGGAGATTCCTGGCAGAATTATGTCACGCGAAGAGTGGTGGAGATCATCGATTCAGATGTGAATAACCGCAATCGCTTTGCGCGTTAGGTGCCGGCGTAGAGAGCCAACGGCTACGACGATGGCTGCTTAATGGCGGTCTTAGCGGCTTGAATAGCAGGAGATGAGAATGACAAGTTAATCTCGTGAACAAAGCGAATTTTCAAGAAGAGACAGAGAAGGTGTTTGGCTTCGACGGCGATCTCTACTCTGGCGTAGTAGTGAGTATCATTGAGTATGCAATCGTCGGGTCGCTAGACAATGGCTTGAAGCTGGTCTGACCGAGTTTTAGCGTGTTAATCTCTGTTTTTTTCGTGAGATAGTAGGAGAGTTCGAACCGTACACCGTTCCGTCCCCATGGAGGTTGACGAGAATTTACGATACCCGGAGTGCGGTGTTGTAAGGGAGCTGTCCTTTTATGGGGTGCCATGGACGCCTCTTCTCGAGATGGAACACCTCACAACCTGCAGCATCTTAAACATGGTTCCTACTCGTGTAACTTCATCCGTTCTCGACGGATTTCTTGGTGGTGATCTATCAATTATAGGTTGCCGTCCGCTCAATTGCCGGAGTGCTCCGGTTCGAGTCTTGTGTTCTGATCAGATCAAAGTCAGCGTGGTTATTTTGTCCGTTCGAGGGGTTGCCCATCGTGTACGGCCGGGTTTTCACGCCCTATGGCGAACTCCATCGGTTGAGCTTTGATGGTGAAGCCAAAATCCCAAATCTAGATTTGAAATTCGTATTTCACACGAAGTATCTGGCTGAGATATTGTATACAGCGACTCAGCGTGGTGCCTGCCACGGTTGGCTTCTCAGATACTCATGCGTGGTCTCACTCATCCTATGACCTTCCCCACTTATGCGGGTGTTCGAAGCCTGTCTAGGGATGATCGTCGACGACGCATCGACTCGAAGCGTGCATTGAGTCCATGTTGCAAACGCTCTTTCTTTTTTCGACCGAATTGGGTTCAGTTCGGAACAAGATTGATGCTGTGAGCCCTTGCCGTTCAGTCATATCCTTTGAGAAGGTGTCGTCTGCCATCCTCACATGAGTTTTCCAGCCATCTTCCTAGTCTGCTGGGCAGCGGCCCTCAGCTGTCTTACACTCGTCACTATAAGTTTTTGGTTGTACCGCCGGCAGCTACCCGGGTCGATTACCATCGACACCCCATCGGCTAAGAATGGGCTCTCTCAAGCTCGTAAGCTTCCATTCGTGTCTGCAGATGGCTTAGCTGGGAGGTCCCTCGTACAAACTGGTTATTCTATGTCTTTGGCGGGAGAAGTGACCCGGGTAGGATGGCTGGCAGTAATGATCGTAGCATTTGTGGTGATGGCGCTGTTGGCACCAGTGAGCTACTTTCCTTCCTTCTATGCTGCCATGGGAACAGACTGGAACGGCATCATGGGACCTTTTCTTTTCGCATTCGTCCTATTTCACGCATCGGCCGCATTCTTCATTAGTTTTTATGATGCTATACGTGCTTGGTTCATGGTGCCTGAAGTGTCTCTGGCGACCGCTAGTTACATACTGATTGAGGAGGAGATCCCGGCTCTGGATGAGATCGTCGTGACCGATCCTGGCGAGACGCCTGAAGAACCTCTGCCTAGTTGGTCTCGTCGAGTCATGAAGAAATGGCGACGCATAATAGGGCGATTCAGAACAGCATCCCAGAAAAGTATCATACCCGTTGAGCTCACTGATGATGGCGACCGATTTATCGAGTATACATGTATGCGTTATGTATACGATGAAAAGAAAGATAGGTTTTGTCCTGCGGCGGACTCTACTGATATCACACCGGCGGAATCAGAAAGACTGCTAGCCCTTGGTGGATTAGACCAGACCGAAGCTATCAGGAGGCGAGCCTTTATCGGTCCTAATGAGATTGTTGTAGACGTACCACCGATATTCAAATCTCTGGTTACTGAGTTCAGCAGTCTCTTTTATGTGATCCAGAGTATGGGCTCGTGGACCTACCTTGGCTATAGCGGTTGGAATATAGGTCTCATATGGTTTCTTATGATGATCATCACTGGTTGTGTAAAGGCACTTTTTATCGTCCGAAGAGGTCAGAAGAAAGTGGCGGAACTTGCTCATCATTCCACTGACGTCTCGGTCTTGAGGAACTACGAGTGGTCGGTTATACCATCGTCTGATGTCGCCCTCGGTGACATCATGGAAGTGGACGACGCAGAGATCCCGTGCGATGGGCATATCTTACTTGGGGCTGCTGTTGTTAACGAGTCTATGCTCACTGGAGAGCCGATGCCTGTACAAAAAATTGCCATGGATTCGTCTGGCAGTGGCGACACTTCCTTCACATCGAAGAGTTTGATCCATGCAGGTAGTTATCGGGTTGGTGGTGAATCATGTTGGAGGCAGGGCGGGATAGGTCTCCCCTTATAGTGAGCTAGATAGGCCTGAAACTTCTATGAGGGATATTGGCTCACATAGTCATCACTGGTATGACTTACATAATTCGAAGTGGTCAGGTACGCTTTGTATGGAGTCTACTGGCCCACATGGGAAGGCTGTGATGATCGTCACGGCTGTTGGGGGCTCAACAACTAAGGGAAAGCTCATCAGGATGGTCATGTTCCCCCAATCAGTGAGGTAATATTAGAAGTTTTCTGTATAGCGTTCTCACACGTGAAGTTGATGATCTATATCAGCCCAAATTTTTGAAAGCCCAACTTACGAAACGGGGCTGACGAAACGCTGACTGAATTTCTGTCGGTACTTAGCCCCGTGCAATCTGTGATACAGGTTCAAATACCACGACCAACTGCCAATAGTCTATGGCATCATGTTTGCCTACGCGATGCTTATATCAATTCTCTATTTGGCTCTCACCCATATAGGCGATTGGATGGTTACGGTGCTGCAGATTTTCCTAGTCCTGCTGCAATCGCTGAATCCTATGCTACCAGTAGCGATGGTTATGGGTCAAACAGTAGCTGCCAAACGTTTACGTAATCATCATAAAATATTCTGCCTTCAACCTGAGAGGATACCAGTAGCCGGTAAGATCTCTATTATGGTATTCGATAAGACCGGCACTATCACTAAGGACGGGATGGAACTGTCTGGGGTGATCCCTGTCCGGAGAGGCAGTTTTGACAACCGTGTCGATTTCGGTAATCACTCCGCGAGCAGACTTCCTACAAACGTTATTCATGGTTTGGCTGCATGTCACACAGTCAGACGACTCCGCGATAATCGTCTTGTCGGCAACCAGGTTGAGATAGCAATGCTCGAGAAATGTGGGTGGTCTCTCTCTGTCGGAGGGGATAATACCTTTGTCACTTCACCTGATGGCAGTAGCGTACTTGAAGTCCTCAGGCTGCTGCCTTTTGATCATGTTCGGATGACCAGTGGTTGTGTGGTTCGCGAGCGTGATACTGGACGTGTCCAGGTGTTGGTGAAGGGATCGTATGAGCGTATGGGAGAGTTATGTCACGTCGTACCGGCAGACTATTCGGAACTGACTGACACGTTTGCGGCATCGAATATGTATGTACTGGCATTGGGTGTGCGGGAGATCGGGGCTGATATGGTGGAGGAGGTGTTGACTATGAGTAGGACAGAGATTGAGAACTCGTTGACATTGCTGGCCCTGCTGCTCTTCAAAAATGAGGTTAAGCCGGATAGTGCATTGGCTATCAGTATGCTACGGGAAGGGGATATTCGCAGTGTGGTGTGTACCGGTGATAATCCATTGACTGCCATTGGTATATCTAAGGAGGTTGGTATAATAGATGATACCAAACCCGTATTACTTGCTCATATCGTTACCAATGATAAAGGAGGATCATCTCTGGTGTGGTCTGATCCCGAGTCAGGTGACGAGATGACGCCAGTGAAAGGAGTCCATCAGTTAGTGGTAACCCGTGGGGCGTGGAGGTATCTCTACTATGAGCAACCTGACGAGTTGGAGGAGTATTGGTACGATATACTGGTGTACGCTCGGATGAAACCGTCTGATAAAGTATCGGTCGTTAAATGGTATCAATCACATAAATTGGTAGTTGGCATGTGTGGTGATGGTGGTAACGATTGTGGTGCCTTACGTGCCGCCCATGCTGCAATGGCATTATCCCAGGCTGAGGCCTCAATGGTGTCACCCTTCAGCTCATGCCGTGATGGTTGTAGCCTCATTACTGTAGTGGACCTTATACGTGAAGGTAGGGCATGTCTAGCTACTAACCTGGCTACTTACTCCTACTACATCGTATATGCTCTCATACTCACCCTTGGGCGCCTCTTCATCACTATCATTGGTAACTTCAACATCGGTGAGTGGATTTTCATAATGACCGATATCCTACTTGGTGTATTCATGGTATGGACGGCGACGCTGTCGGGACCAGCCCGCCGTCTAGCCAAGTTCCGACCAACCGCTTCGCTACTGGGCTGGCGTACCATTCTGTCCTGTGTGGTACCTGCCTGTATCGCCATTGGGGCGCTCGTAATCTCGTATGCAGTCCTGTGGTCGCCATTAAATACCCAGTGGTACCTCAAGAGTTGACACGCTCGACCTGAAAGTGCCTCCGCAAGACTGGATGAAAAAGGGTGATAACTACGATACAGCAGTGCTCGTTTTTGTAATGTTCACTGTATTGGTTAACCATGTCTTCACGGCTACGTACGGAGGTGCCTTCCGCTTCGCCGTTCTGCGTAACTGGAGTGTTATCATATTTTACGCCTGTTTCATGGTTCTAACTTTTGCTCTACTCTGGGTTGATCCTTGTGATCTGTCCTGCGTCTACCGTGTCAGTTGTGACAGCGGCTCGTCACTCGCTACGGGATCGATACCGTTTGTCAGCCAATTCTCAGTTGGAAACATTGGTGGATGCTTCCTGGGTCCTCAAGTACATCGCTATCAGCAGCTAGGATACGCAAATTGGGTTCCATCACCAGAACATAGCTGTCTACCGCCTCAAGAAGCATTGGCGACCTTGCCCTATGACAGCCCGGAAATATCGGCTCTCGGTTACGATGGGCCAAATAACGCCTTTTCAACTGTCTATAGAATTTTCTTGACGGTACTACTCGCCGTAACGGTCTTGCTGATGCACCTATTCGTGAAAGTGGGGCTTTTAGGACCCGGTGCTGCCTTCTTCCGTTCAAGGGCTCGTCTCGCCAAGACCTAGGCACCTTTGTGTACTGAAGTTGTTCTCACAGGATTATGTGTCATGTACGGGCGGGCTTGACTGACGTGAAGAGTCTTCTGTCATGGTTCTCGAGGACTGCATTGCATCAAGTCAACTCTAATGAATTCGCCATATCGCAGTATAATATTGCCAAATTTTATGCTCCTTCAACCGTTCTGACGCTTCACTGTTATACAGGCTCCATCTGCCACATTTCTCAGCTGCACAATATGGTGTTTTCGCCGAGTCGAGAAACTTTTGGGGAGTCAATAATCGTTCGATTGATGAGGCTTTTCTGGACTAGGATATTCGACAGAGCCGGAGTTCTAGGATACTTAGGGTCCGATATAGTCTCAACGGTATGTCACACTCTTGTCCGTACATTCCAGCTCCGCTAGATGTGAGCTATGTTGCAGGATATGATTCTTCGAGAGTGCATTATCGGCACTTCGGCGACGCGGTGCTTATTACTTCACACTCTAGTCCGCAGAGTCCCAATTGGAGTTCAAGTCGGTCACCAAGATCGGCGACCGAGTTCTTAGGAACCCTGCATCTATCATTCAGGAGCAAGGTGACAGGAGTCCTGTCACAGGAGCCTCCAAGGTCTACTATACCTGGGGGCAGATCTGCCATCTCGGGACTGCAAAGAGTCGTATGTTGGGACGGCATAGCTGCCCCGCCCGAGTGAAGTCTATGTCGATATGACATAGCTGCCCCGCCTAGATAGTTCGGTCATACTGAGGTATATGTTGAGACGGCATAGCTGCCCCGCCCGGGTGAAGTCTATGTTGATATGACATAGCTGCCCCGCCTAGATAGTTCGGTCATACTGAGGTATATGTTGAGACGGCATAGCTGCCCCGCCCGGGTGAAGTCTATGTTGATATGACATAGCTGCCCCGCCTAGATAGTTCGGTCATACTGAGGTATATGCTGAGACGGCATAGCTGCCCCGCCCGGGTGAAGTCTATGTTGATATGACATAGCTGCCCCGCCTAGATAGTTCGGTCATACTGAGGTATATGTTGAGACGGCATAGCTGCCCCGCCCGGGTGAAGTCTATGTTGATATGACATAGCTGCCCCGCCTAGATAGTTCGGTCATACTGAGGTATATGTTGAGACGGCATAGCTGCCCCGCCCGGGTGAAGTCTATGTTGATATGACATAGCTGCCCCGCCTAGATAGTTCGGTCATACTGAGGTATATGTTGAGACGGCATAGCTGCCCCGCCCGGGTGAAGTCTATGTTGATATGACATAGCTGCCCTGCCTAGATAGTTCGATCATACTGAGGTATATGTTGAGACGGCATAGCTGCCTCGCCCAGATATAATGTGTACAGCAAATCGTATGTTGGGACGACATAGTTGCTGCGCCCAGGTGAATTGATTATACCGAGGAGTATCTTAGGATGGCATATTTGCCCCGCCCAGGCAATTAGATCATACTGAGGTGTATGTTGGGACGGCATAGTTGCCCCGCCGAGGGAATTCGATGATACTAAGGTGTATGTTGGGACGGCATGGTTTCCCCGCCCAGGCAATTCGATGATACTAAGGTGTATGTTGGGACGGCATGGTTTCCCCGCCCAGGCAATTCGATGATACTAAGGTGTATGTTGGGATGGCATAGGTGCCCCGCTTGGATAAATTAATAATACTAAGGCGTGTGGTGGGGAGGCATAGTTGCCGCGCCCAGATGTCTTGATTGCACTAAGTCGTATGTCGAGAAGGCACAGGTGCCAGGCCGGGTAGAATCATGACACTAACGCGTATTTTGGGATGGCATAGCTGCCCCGCTCCGTTGAATCAATTGTGTTGATGCACACCCTTGGAACTAGATGCATGCTCGTGCAGCAGGCATACTATGCACGTGTGGAACTCCTCTGTACGAGAGTTTGGGGAGGAGCAGAGCACAGAGTCTTACTCTATTGGTAGCTTGGGAGCTGGTACGCTTCCACATCATCTCTCATGACGGTTGAGATGATGTGGAGCAGCTACAGTTGCTCACTATCCAGCTGATGGCGCGTCACCATCGTCAGACATCTCTCGACCTAGGGAGAAGAATGTGCTTCATCGTCTTACATCGATGTGTCTACCCGCGCGAGGAATGGCGGTTATTGCTATTTTCAGTGAGGTTGTTGCGAATGATTTGCTATAGCGCCCGAGATATGATACTCATCAACCGGGAACACAATTGGTTACACGCCTGCACTCCTGTCGTAGACGTCTTCACTGTCGCTACGTTTCACTGTGCTTCCAATGAAAACCCTTTCTACGGGAGTATGGAAAGAGGAAATCACACGACCCTTACGCTATTGGTAGTTTGTGAATTGATGCTCTTTCATTTCTAACGATGGTTTAGGTGATGGTGAGCAGCTAACTCTGCTTATCATTGAGCCGATGGCGCGTCACCGTCTTCAGACATCTCCCGACCTAGGGAAAGAAAGTAATGTGCTTCATCGCCTAAGGCGGTTCGCCTTCCATCGATGCGACTACTCGTGCATGGAATGATGATCAACATTATTCGTTGTGAGCGTCTCGTGTTTGATTTGCTAGAGCGCACACAATATGATACCGATAAACCAGGAGAACAATAGTTTGCACGTGTGCACTCTTTTCGTACACGTTTTTACTGCCGCTACGTTAAACGTGGAACGTAGTACGTTTCACTGCGCTCTCGAATAATTCTCTAGGACCTTGGCGAGTTCGAGCCCGTGGAATTTTTCCGTACGGTTGCTCAAGTAATTTCTCAAATCAGCAACGTGTGAACCCCGCTATGAGAATCTTCTTTGGAAATGCCTCCATTTTGAGCGCTCACTGTTCATTGATAATCCTGATATCGGCGTCGTTTGACATCGTCCCATGAGTTTCCCCGCTATCTTCCTAGTCTGCTGGGCGGCGGTCCTCGCCTCTCTTATAATCGTCACTACCAGTTTTTGGCTGTACCGCCTGCAGCTACTCAGGTCTATTACCGTTGACACCCCGTCGGTTAAGAATGGGCTCTCTGAAGCTCATAAGCTCCCATTCGTGTCCGCAGATGGCTTAGCTGGGAAGTCACTCGTACAAACTGGTTATTCTATATCCCTGGCTGGAGAAGTGACCCGGGTGGGATGGCTGGCAGTAATGGTTGTAGCATTTGTGGTGATGGCGCTGTTGTCATCAGTGAGCTACTTCCCTTCCTTTTATACTGACATGGGTACAGACTGGAACGGTATCATGGGACCTTTTCTTTTCACATTCGTCCTATTTCACGCATCGGCGGCATTCTTCATCTTTTTTTATGATGCTATACGTGCTTGGTTCATGGTGCCTGAAGCTTCCCTAGCGACCGCTAGTTATGTACTCATTGAAGAGGAGATCCCAGCTCTGGATGAGACTGTTGTGACCGATCCTGGCGAGACGCCTGACGAGACGCCTGACGAGACGCCTATGCCTAATTGGTCTCGTCGAGTCATGAAGAAATGGCGACGCATAATGAAGCAATTCAGAACAGCATCCCAGAAGAGTATCATAGCCATTGAGCTCACTGATGATGGCGACCGATTTATCGAGTATACATGTATGCGTTATGTATATGATGGAAAGGAAGATCGATTCCGTCCAGCGGCGGACTTGACTGATATCACACCGGCGGAATCAGAAAGGCTGCTAGCCCTTGGTGGATTAAACCAGACCGAAGCTATCAGGAGGCGAGCCTTTATCGGCCCTAATGAGATTGTTGTAGACGTGCCATCGATATTCAAATCCCTGATTACTGAATTCAGCAGCCTCTTTTATGTGATCCAGAGTATGGGCGCGTGGACCTGCCTTGGTTATAGTGCTTGGAATATAGGCGTCCTATGGTTTCTCACAATCATTATCACTGGTGGTGTAAAGGCGCTTTCCATCGTTCGAAGGGGTCAAAAGAAGGTGGCGGAACTTGCTCATCATTCCACTAACGTCTCGGTCTTGAGAAACTCTGAGTGGTCGGTTATACCTTCGTCTGATGTCGCTCTCAGTGACATTATGAAAGTGGACGACGCAGAGATCCCGTGCGATGGGCATATCCTACTTGGTGCTGCTGTTGTTAACGAGTCTATGCTCACTGGAGAGCCGATGCCTGTACAAAAAATCGCCGCGGATTCGTCTGGCAGTGGCGATACTTCCTTCACATCAAAGAGTTTGATCCATGCAGGTAGTTATCGGGTTGGTGTGGAATCATGTTGGAGGCAGGGCGGGCTAGGTCTCCTGTTATAGTGAGCTAGATAGGCCTGAAACTTCTATGAGGGATATTGGCTCACATAGTCATCATTAATATGACTTTCGTAATTCGAAGTGGTCAGGTACGCTTTGTATGGAGTCTACTGGCCCATATGGGAAGGCTCTGATGATCGTCACGGCTGTTGGGGGCTCAACAACCAAGGGACAGCTCATCAGGATGGTCATGTTCCCCCAATCAGTGAGGTAATATAAGATGTCTTCTGTATAGCGTTCTCACACGTAATCGAGTGATCGAGTTGATGATCCATATCAGCCTCCATTGTTTGAAAGTCAAACTTACGAATCGTGACTGGAGAAACGGCTGACCGAGTTCCTCCTTCCGGTACTTAACTGCCAATATTCTGCGTGGTAGGTTCAAATACCACGACCAACTGCCAATAGTCTACTGCATTATGTTCGCCTACGCGATGCTCTTATCATTTCTCTACTTCAGTCTCACCCATATAGGCAGTTGGATCGTTACGATTCTGCAGATTTTCGTAGTCCTACTGCAGTCGCTGAACCCGATGCTGCCAGTAGCGATGGTTATGGGTCAAACAGTAGCTGCCAAACGTTTACGTAATCATCATAAAATATTCTGCCTTCAACCTGAGAGGATACCAGTAGCCGGTAAGATCTCTATTATGGTATTCGATAAGACCGGCACTATCACTAAGGACGGGATGGAACTGTCTGGGGTGATCCCTGTCCGGAGAGGCAGTTTTGACAACCGTGTCGATTTTGGTAATCACCCCGCGAGCAGACTTCCTACAAACGTTATTCATGGCTTGGCTGCATGTCACACGGTCAGAAGACTCCGCGATAATCGTCTTGTCGGCAACCAGGTTGATATAGCAATGCTCGAGAAATGTGGGTGGTCCCTCTCTGTCGGAGGGGATAATACCTTTGTTACTTCACCTGATGGCAGTAGCGTACTTGAAGTCCTCAGGCTGCTGCCTTTTGATCATGTTCGGATGAGCAGTGGTTGTGTGGTTCGCGAGCGTGATACTGGACGTGTCCAGGTGTTGGTGAAGGGATCGTATGAGCGTATGGGAGAGTTATGTCGCGTTGTACCGGCAGACTATTCGGAACTGACTGACACGTTAGCGGCATCGAATATGTATGTACTGGCATTGGGTGTGCGGGAGATCGGGGCTGATATGGTGGAGGAGGTGTTGACTATGAGTAGGACAGAGATTGAGAACTCGTTGACATTGCTGGCCCTGCTGCTCTTCAAAAATGAGGTTAAGCCGGATAGTGCATTGGCTATCAGTATGCTACGGGAAGGGGATATTCGCAGTGTGGTGTGTACCGGTGATAATCCATTGACTGCCATTGGTATATCTAAGGAGGTTGGTATAATAGATGATACCAAACCCGTATTACTTGCTCATATCGTTACCAATGATAAAGGAGGATCATCTCTGGTGTGGTCTGATCCCGAGTCAGGTGACGAGATGACGCCAGTGAAAGGAGTCCATCAGTTAGTGGTAACCCGTGGGGCGTGGAGGTATCTCTACTATGAGCAACCTGACGAGTTGGAGGAGTATTGGTACGATATACTGGTGTACGCTCGGATGAAACCGTCTGATAAAGTATCGGTCGTTAAATGGTATCAATCACATAAATTGGTAGTTGGCATGTGTGGTGATGGTGGTAACGATTGTGGTGCCTTACGTGCCGCCCATGCTGCAATGGCATTATCCCAGGCTGAGGCCTCAATGGTGTCACCCTTCAGCTCATGCCGTGATGGTTGTAGCCTCATTACTGTAGTGGACCTTATACGTGAAGGTAGGGCATGTCTAGCTACCAACCTGGCTACTTACTCCTACTATATCGTATATGCTCTCATACTCAGCGTTGGGCGTCTCTCTGTCACTATCATTGGTAACTTCAACTTCGGTGAGTGGGTTGTCATAACGTTCGATATTGTCCTTGGTATATTCTTGGTATGGACAGCGACGTTGTCGGGACCAGCTCATCGACTCGCTAACTACCGACCAACTGCTTCGCTACTGGGCTGGCGTACCATTCTGTCCTGTGTGGTACCTGCCTGTATCGCCATTGGGGCGCTTGTAATCTCTTATGCAGTCCTGTGGTCGCCATTGAACTCTCAATGGTACTACAGAGTTAACACGCTCGACCTTAAAGTGCCGCCGCAAGAATGGACGAAAAAGGGTGATAACTACGATACAGCAGTGCTTGTTTTTGTGATGTTCACTGTAATGGCCAACCACGTCTTCATGGCCACATATGGAGGCGCCTTCCGCTTCGCCGTTCTGCGTAACTGGAGCGTTACCATATTTTACGCCGGTTTCATGGCCTTCACGCTCGCTTTACTCTGGGTTGATCCTTGTGATCTGTCCTGCGTCTACCGGGTCAATTGTGACAGCGGCTCGTCGCTCGCTTCGGGGTCGATACCGTTTGTCAGCCAATTCTCAGTTGGTAATATTGGTGGATGCTTCCTAGGTCCTCAAGTACATCGTTATCAGCAGCTAGGATACGCGAATTGGATTCCATCACCAGAGCATAACTGTTTACCTCCGCGAGAAGCATTGGCGATCTTGCCCTATGACAGTCCGGGGATATCGGCTCTCGGCTACGATGGGCCGAACAACGTTTTTTCGACTGTCTATAGAATTTTCTTGACGCTACTACTCGCCGTAACGACCTTTTTGATGCATTTATTCGTGAAGGTGGGGCTTTTAGGATCCGGTGCCGTCTTCTTTCGCTCGAGGGCTCGTCTCGCCAAGACCTAGGCACCTTCGTGTACTGAAGTTTTCTCATAGGGTTATGTATCACACGCGGTCTGGTTTAACTGACGTGAAGGGTCTTTTGTCGTGGTTCTCGTGGGCTATATTGCACGAAGGTCGGCTCCATCGAACTCGCCATGTCGCAGTATAATATTTCCGAATTTTATGCTTCTTTCCGTTTTGACGCTTGAAGCGTCACGCTTCACTGCTATACAGGCTCCATTTGCCACATTTCTCAGCTGCACAATATGGGTGTTTTCGCCGAGTCGATAAACTTCTTGGGACTCAATAGTCGCGGGACTGATGTGATTTTGCTGGACTAGAACTTCCCATAGAGCCGAAGTTCTAGGATACCTTATAGTCTCAACGGTATTTCACAACCTGGCCGCTGCATTTCAGCTTAGATGTGAGCTATGTTACAGGATCTGATTCTCCGTACGCGCATTCGCGGCGCTCCCGCGACGTGGTCCAGATATTGAGATGGCATAGTTGCCCCACCCGGATAAATTGATTATACTAAGGCGTACGTTGAGATTATTGGGATGGCATAGTTGCCCCATCCGGATAAATCGATCATACTAAGGTGTACAGTATGTTGGGATGGCATAGCTGCCCCGCCGGGTGAATTGGTTATACAGGAAGGTGCAAAAAGAAAGGCGCACCCCTCGTAATTTCGCGGCAAGTGACAGTTTGTGAACAACAAAGGGACCATTTGAAAGATCTCATCGAGCTCTCTCTAACGGTATTATACCGTTGGTAAATGAACGGTTGTGATATCCGTATTGTGCACTGAGGTATCGTCAAACGTAGAATCGGCTACATAGGGAAAAGCTGTACTTTTCCAATCAAGCGTATTCCATTTAAGTTGTATTGGAGCAAATTCCACGGCGAGAAAGTCAGTTTGCTCAAACCTGTTGTGACAACAGTGTTGTCTATTCTATTCCCCCTATTGGAGGACCGTAGGGGCTTGTGTGCCTTTTAGTCGACAACGCTGTCAGAGTGAAGCAAGCAGGCAGGGGTCTAGATATAGTGATGAGCATCTCTAACCTCAAGCCCTATGCGTTGGGGTTCAGGTGAGAATGGGTCAGATGGTCTGCCCCGTTCTCACCCGGGGTCTTGTTGGGTTGGGGAATATGTGTCAAATTGCAGTCCCTGAATGTCCTATGTTCTCGTGAGTTTGCTCTGGCATCTTGAGGCTGTGACATTGGTGTTAGTTTGTATTTCATGTTTCGTTCATGTCGAGTCCTTCGGAAACAAACCTTGCTAGGGAAGCATCAACGTCGGGTGCATGGGGCTTATGTAAGCCAGCCATATTCATCTTTTCATTTAAGGATGGATGATTGAGCTCAGGTTGAATCGTCCTTCCACCATGGCGACATTGATCCCTTGAAACCGAAGTTCCAATGGGTTGCCGAGCCGTTCAAGCCAAAGTAACAATAATAGTTCTCCACGGAGTATACAAGGCGACTTCACAAACATGCCAACGGCATCACCATCAGCTCGGCCTCATACCAATTTAAGAGCCATTACTCTTGAAGATGAATAGGGCAAGGGCAGGTACAGTTCGTTCGATCAGGGCAGCTCGCAAGGTCGTTTGATTGTTAGATTCCATATAATCGATGCGGCAGGTCTGTCGATAGGCAGATTATCACAGTTTATAGTTCGTCTGCTCACTGTAATGGACGAATTTTGTAGCGAATCGTCAACGTGAGCACCTCTTTATTATTCAGGGAAAATACCGTGTTGATTACCGCTGTATGGACAACAACCGCTCTGACAGCGTCATAGTCGTGAATGCGATACATGCTAGATTCGTCGGCCATACGTGGGATACCAAGATCTATCGAAGTTGGCGAACACGGAAGCGTGAGTTTTCGGTCTCTTCTGGAAAATCGGCTTCTTCTTCTCATGCGATCGTTTTGCTGCAATGCGTGCAGATGATCCTCTCGGAGCCAAGATCGTTACGGCTAAGCATTTAATGTTCCACAATCCCGCGTTGCCGGTAAGTTCCGACTTGTGTGAGAAGAATTATATTCCTGTTTTAGCTCAACCTATGTATCAGAAGGATGTTGCCAAGTACTCTCATAAGGACGGTCATGACTCGGAGACTTTTCATTTATCCGGGCGCAATCCATCCCCACTGGAACATACCTCAGGTTAGCTGTTCCCTTTCAGCTGTTGTATTGCGACTCCGCGGTATAGGTGGTGGTACCTCGACCCAACCCGCCTCCGGTCTCTGATCCTGTGTTCACGGTCACAAGGCCGTTAAACGATGTGAGTACTTAGCAGGATTCAGACTTAGTTCGATTCAATGCTCGTGATCGTTGAACTCTTTGTCTTTCAGACGTCGGCATCTGTCCGAGAGCGCAGAGCAACGGGAACTCGAACAAGTGAGAGTATCTTAGAGGAGTCGTTGACCGGAATGGTTTCTTCAGAACTGTTGCAAGCAGCGGAGTCCAACCGTCGCAAGAAGGAAGCAGCATCGAAACGCAAAGTGGACATGAAAGCGGCCTCTGCGCAAACATAACCATTCCGGCATGTCTACCGATGATCTGGTTTCAGAGGAGAGTTCATCTTGAGTTTGCTTGTCTCCTGATATCTCAATATTTGTCCGGCGCGGCGATATGGTGGGTACCCCCGGGCGAAATCTATGTATACTCAGTGTATATCGTGAGCTTACTTTACTCAACTCGTGTCTCAGACAAGTTGTCTGTAACCGGGAATTAATCTAGATAGCCAAGTAGATAGGTATCCGCATACCAAGAAGTCATATGGGATGTGACGCCAAGCAGAGTATCAGCTTCAAGTTTGAAGTCAACTCTGAAGCTGGAACTCTTGAAATTGAACTTATCATGTTTGAATAGGCTATGTAAGTCTTATTTGTTGTATCACACGACCAAGCATGCCAGAGCCTCTGCGTACGTCATACTCTCCAAATGGGGGTTTTCCTCGACTTACGACTTGACAGCCTCAAAATTAGGTCCCCTCATGCTTGTGGCCGTGGCTGGAGTAGTTGGAGTCCAACTGTTCAAAATCATTAGGAAGATATTCGAGAAATCAGTCTTTCCCGGACCAGGAGTGAGTGATCAGCTACCCAGTAGCGATCCTATCATAGCGCTCCTATCCGAGTCGAACTGATATGATCGAAAAGCACCCTTTCGGCTCACATTCAGATGGGGTTCAGCCTCCGACTCGCTTGCATGTCGGTAGAAGACCAATTTAGAGAGATCATGGCTTTACCAGAGAAGTTCGGTCCCATCTGTTGCTTGAGGTGAGATCATTTAGAATCGGATGGCATCACTCGGAGCAAATTTCCACTCTCCTGATCAGAACACTTACGCACCAAGTACTGGTTGTGTCGGACATACCGACATACCGGGACGTTATGAGGAGAAGGCCAAGCGAGTTTAGTGGAATTGACGTCGAGAATTTTACGAAATCTAAAAGTATGGTTATGAGTGAGGGAGCTATGTGGAAGAAGCATAGGCGGATAGTATCACGCCCGTTCAATGAGCAGAACTTGGACAGACTCGTACCTATGATTATAAGTCTTGGTGAAGATTTGGTGAGATTCAGCCCATCACCACCCGATACATTGTGTCTTCTAGCAGGTTGGTAAATTGAAACAGGAGGCCGACAGCCAAGGGGTGGTAATGTGGAGGCCAGTAGAGGACGTGCACCTGCTTGGTAAGAGAGTAGCCGCTGCTGTCTATATGGGCGAGACAAATCCCCTGAACTCGAAATGTAGCGAGTCACTGCGTATATTCATTTGTGCAGACGTTTTGTGTAGATGCACTATTCTCACCGCATATTCAAGCAGAGGTCAGAGAATACATCATGGATAGATTCGCTATAAGTCTGAAACCAACGCGAATTTTCTATTACGACCGGCTGTTATATCGACTGCTATTCCCAGGGGTTAGAGAGGTAATACGAAGTTGTTTTAGATTATTATGATAGCTTTCACAGATGATTCAAAATAAATCACTCTAACTCGATCTTGTCTATAATCCATGGTCAAGATATACTCTTCTGATTTGTCTCAGTTCTACCGCAAGTGGAGAAGTATGAACGCTAAACTCGTGGAGGACATTCGTCTGAGCCAGGAGGCGCCACGAAGGAGTCTTGCTTTGCCTGTGGGTGTCCCTCAGAGTGCAGCCGGCCAGCTGGATGAAACTGAGCTCACACATGATCTCATAATGTAGCGGTGTCCCGATCAGCGCCTTAGCAATATCAGCGTCGATGCACCTAAGTACCTAACGAACGATCTAAGGGTCGTGCGTCTCTGGGGTTTGCGCCACAAGAGTTATCTACTAAACTGAATTTGGTTCCTAACGATCAGGTTCCTTGCTGCGGGAGGGGAAACTGTTGCTACGGCCCTCATCCGTCTGATCCAGCACTTCTGTAAATATCCAGATGTTCAGAGGAAGGCGAGAGCCGAAGCAAGTTCGCTGAGGGAACTGTCAGCCAGCTCTGTCCATGATATGCCTTATATAGAGGCGTGTTTGATGGAAACAATCATAGTACTCACAAGCTAATAGGATGAAGCCGTGCATTCGATTCACTTCAGCACAACCCTTCCCCACCAGTGATGCTACTTAGCGCCTTAGTTGACTGCAAGGTGGCGGGGAAATCTATCAAGGCAGGAACCAAGCTAATGTTCCCGGTCAAACAGATTTTGAAGAAATCATATGTAGACGGCGACGAGTTCAGGTAGATTCAAGAGCTTATAACGTTATAATAATGCGACAATGGATCGTGTCGTCGAGTAAAGGCTTCATTTGCTACCCGCTCCATTATGCGTTCTTTCGTGATTCGATACACACTAATGATAGGACTGTGAAACCAATGCCTCGTCAAATCTGAAAACGTGGAACAAAGCCATGATTCCCTATTAAAAAAGATTTCGCGATCTCGGCTTTCTGTCAGACCCGAACGTTGGTTGGTCCCCGACGGTCATTCCATAGACGAGAGACAGCGTGACGAATTTTTGGGCTTTGGTTTCGGACCACGACGCTGTCCCGGTCAGCTTCTTGCTGTTAAAGAGGTTATTATTATCATTGCAATTTTACTTCGTAGTTCTCATAAGTTCTATGGGGATGCAGAAACCCACTCACCTAAATTCTCTTCACGGCTCACGATGTGTCCTCAAGACTCCCCTGTGAGATTGCACTGCCGGACCGTGTAGTTGTATCTTCTTTACATGGTGTCAGCCTATGTGAGCTGTTGTTTCCGTTTAGGAGATCTCCTGTGATAGTACACAAAGTTGATGCTATTGAGCTGTCCCTCTAGCGTCCCCACGCTGGTCATGATTTCGCGGTTACAGCTGACAGATGCGCAAGCTGAATGTCTTCTGTCTCTTTCGGATCAGAAGTTTGATTATTCAGTCTCGATCGAGTGAAATATCTATGTTGGCATGTATGAAATATGCCAACATCAGAACGCTATCTAAGGGGACTTACTCTTAATACTTAGTCCCAGCTCGAAGTTAGAAGTGAGAACGATGTTGAGTTGCACAGAGATCTGTTGTTGATGATTCTATGATGGGAGCGAATCATTCAGACGGGTTGGGGTGAATAGGTAGAAGGGGACAACGGATCAGTTTCGGATTATCCTCTTCTAACGAGAAGGGGAGCTGAGGGCTAGCGTTAAATTTTTAACGACAGTTGTGGACTGTTTCAGAGTTGCTCGTAACCATTGTTACTTCTCTACTGCCAGACTTGTACAAGAAATGGTGTAGAGACTTAAGAGATACAAACATATAACACAAGATAATAAGAGAAATCGAGAGACTACGACACAGAACTTGGCTTCTGCGACGAAAAGTTATTCGGCCTGGACCAGCATTTACGGCACAATTTTCCTTCTGCACGAATGCTGCAAGTTAGCTCATCATTCACACAATAAACCCACCAACAGCACCAGTCGCTGGAGGAAGCTGTGTCACTAGCGTCCTCAGAAGATCTTCAAGAGGCAGACCGTAGCTTAAACAGTTGTTTGCAAAAACGGAAGTCAAGCTTGTGAATAATATTGAACACATCGACTATCTTGTACAATAATGTTGTTATCAACTTGAGCGGAGCGAAGCACACTGACTCCTCCATTTCCTCTCCCTTATCCAGAGAAATTCGCATCGTGTACTTGCCCTCAACGAGTGAGGATGGTACTCAACACAAGCGATAACAGTGATACACGACTTCGGCCACCCATCGAATTGAAAATGTAACTGAGAGATATTTTTCAGGTCGACCATGGAAGATACGAAATATGTCAGCTTCCGGGCAACTTCCACAAGTGAGCCAAACGAGCACACTACTCCAAGGCAAGTGCATGCAAGCAAGAATAGCCGCCAGTAGCTCAGCTGGCCGGCCCCTCCGCGGAAATTTTCTAGAATTTTCACGTGTAGCGCCTACTCGAATTATAGCCCAACAAACCCAACAACTTATTAGGTGTTGGGATATTCAGTTTATGATCACACCTTGTGCTTTTGACGCGGAGTTTGAACTTCACCAAAATGTCGCTTTGTACATTTCACTCACTTTTAGTAACGTTTTTACCCATCAATAATCGTTTCGAAGATCGATGTGGTTGTCTATGGAGCAAACTGAGCCTCCGAGATGACTGGGCGTGCGTCGATCAATGCTTCGATTCAACATTATGGATGGCTTACGGAAAAAAGGGATTTCACACTCGTGAAATCTTCAACAGTAGGAATGCTCGCCAACCCTGGACGGGAACGGGATTCTTGATCGGAGTATCTTGAGGTCGCCATCGAAAGATACAAAACAGGTCAGGGTGGGACCTTCAGTTCAGGACTCTTGAGTTTTTCCCTTTGTTGGATCCCACCCGTCTCTCTGACGACATAGAGAGTCCACCGTTCCAGTCCCGTCCGATCGTCACTCACTATGAATATTTTTCGGTTTTGCGGGGATATGCTTCACTTAGTGAGCATCCTCCTCCTCGTCCTCAAACTGCGAAAGTCCAAGAGCTGCGTGGGTAAGTGAGCGTATCTTAGGTCCACCATGGTAAGATACAAACTAGGTATATCGTGCAAGATGCAGGAGATGTACGCCATGGTCTTCATTTTCCGATACGTGGACCTCTTCTGGCTGTACGTCAGCCTATATAATACTGGTAGTAAAGGGAAAGAGAAACTCAGTGAAAATACCACCATCGTTGGTTCTCAGTCATGAAGGTAGTTTTCATCACACTCACATTGTATCTGGTTTACACTATGAAATTCAAGAGCGGCCCTGTGAGGCAAACCTACGATGCCACCGCTGATAACTTCAACTACGTCAGGTAAGAACGCTATCATCCCGTTGACCATCAAAGTTACTATCAGGTGGCTATTACCGCCGTGTTTCGTCCTCACCCTCATCACCACTGCTGACTACTCTATCGTTGAGGTGGTGTGGCTTCCGATTATCACGAGCTGTTCTCAGTTTTCGCAGACATCTTCTTGGAGTATATAGTTGTTTATGACGTAGAGTGACGGAATATATGTTTGCTTCCCTCAGCTGAGCTCAACAGGAATTTCCCTACTAGTTATCAAAGCTTTCATACAAATTCGGCACGACCGATAAGAATTCCCCAAAAATTTCATCAGAATTTCCCTAGTGGCACCAACACATGTAGTTGACCATGTGCATATTTTTCCACCCTGAGTAGAAGTGTACAGAAATCAACAAGAATTTCCTCACTTTGATTAGCAAGCATAGGTGAGCATGTGCATGTTTACCGCAGGTACTATGGACGATGTCGATTTGGATGGAGTCTGTCGCCATTTTGCCGCAGTTGTCGCTCCTGCAGCGTCAGAGAGAGGTAGAGGTACTCACATTGCGGAAATATTCATGCAAGTTTTAGGTGGAAAACTTGACGAGCAATTTTGTGTTCGCCATGGGAGCCTACAGGGGCTTCTATATAATAAATTGGGTAATAAACTGCACAGTCATTTTTAGCGATGATTTTAACCACTCAGATTTACCGTTATTTCGCGGAAGGTTACGTGAACTGGGTCGGGTGGATAGGCGGTGGCATTCAAGTGGCTTTGTACTGTGACTTTTTCTATTACTTTGCGATGAGGTATTTCTCTTGCACTGAATTTGCATAGAACTGCTGTTCTTTCCTTGTTAGTAAATGGTACGGTCAGAAGCTGATCTTGCCTATGGCGGAGTAACGACTCAGCCGCGAGGTCCTCTATGATGGTACATGAGGCATGAGGAGGATGTACTCTTTTGGGTGTTGATTATCGAGCAGCTTGTGAGAATAGCAAGTGTCAATGTTGACATATTGAGATGAAGGTAGCGTAGTCGTTTGCCTGATTGCCGTTGGTGATGGCAGTCTCTGGTGCCAGTCCCATATTATTCCTTTCGAATCGTCTTGTGTTGAAGTGATTCTCTAAGAGGGGGGGGGGGGGGGGTAACCCTTATTATTCGAGGAAGAGGGGGCACCAGTGCTGCCGGGTCTGAGGAACTCGGTTGTTATATCGACTTTGATGTGGGAATCACAGACTATGACTGTGAAGTTGCTGGTCAGTCTCATATGAGCTCTTCCTAGTTGCGATATTCACGAATTGACGGTTTTCATATGATGGGATGCAGGAGATCAGTGAGGATCTACATCTGGTCGACGAGCAGATCATCCTGATGAGGACGCACTGTTCTGACGTGTGGTTATGTGCCTCATCTGATAGTGAGGAGTTGACAGGATTCCCGACGTGCATTCGCAGCTTGTTTTCTCCCACCTACGTATTAGCTGTCTTTATGTCCACTATCGGCAAGGGCACTGAAGAAATCGTGGCTAATGAGTTCTTCGAACCTGATAGCTCAAGCGACAGCAGTGCTTCGTCATCATCGTCATCATCTGATGAGGACTCCTCGGAATCCGACTCGGAGAGTGACTCAGAGGAGCAGCAGGTTGTCTCTATCCAGGAGATGGACGTAAAGGAGTTGAGGCGACAGAGGAAGTCTATTAAGGGCCTCAATGAGCTTAGCGATGATAAGGTAGGTCTTATACTGGTTTTGTTATGTGGCTGAAGCTCCATTGCTGTTGCTGTTTTGATTGCTCAAGAAATTTTTGCACAGCTGTGCAAGGCGATCGGGAGTTCGATTAAGCTAACCAAGTTATCGGTGTGTATCGATTATGTCGATACACTCATCGTATTGAACAATCATATGAATACTTGCCGAGAGATTCCTTTTCAACGCATTTGCATGAGAATAACGCACGTAGAGTAGAGTGTCATTTGTCGAATATTGAAACCATAATTCGCTCACTTCGTCACAGTTGGGATATGAACGTAATGGCCAATAAACGCGGCATCCTAGTCGTTGACTCCCTCCCACGTATTATATGGTCTCTTCCTCAGCTCAGCGGCGTTCTGCTGGGCTGTACAGTCGAGGATTTACTGGAAATTGACAAGCTCAACGGTGAAGGTTGTTTTGAGAGCTTCGACGCTTGGAAGTAAGTCAAGGCTAATGGAAGCCAACCGACTATCATTCGCCTTAGTACTGCTTGGGAGAAGGCTGTGCACGTACGATTCACGGATGGTATGGTACGGACAATTCGAAAGCAGATGGAGTCGACTCATGGAGTGTTCTCCCAAGGTGAGTGTTGGAATATTTCTAACTGTTTTTCCAATTATCATGAATGCTTACACGCGACTTGGAGTAGATGTGTACAAGAAATCAACAGAAGTGATGTAGTTGCCTATGTGCGTTAATTTCTACTGTTTTATGACTTGTTCTTAGATGCTTCCACTTCTCAGTTCATTACGAACTCCGCGCGTCGCCTCAACAGAGCTCAGCTGCCGTTGGACGATGTAAGATGGGTGAAAACGCTAACGAATGAACACCAAGTTTCGTCCTGAGGTCCTACGTGCTTTGCGAGGGCTTGAAGCTGTCGAGGTTACTATGGATGACCTCAAACGCACTAAAATTGGAAAAGTTGTTAACGTAAGATGCACATCTGAGTTGGTGTGTTGATGCATATTTCGCAGACTATCATGAAGACGTCCGTGGATCCTGATATCAAGGCGTTGTCCAAGGACTTGGTATGTAAATGGCGCAAGGTGGTCGCGGAAGCACGACGTGGGTATCTTCCATGAAAGACTATTTGGCCATACCACTCCTCTGGCAGATCCTGAATCGAATGAGATGGTCGGAACGCCTTCGACTGATGAAGATGGTGATGGAACGAAGCATATGTGTGAGTGGAGGAGCGTGTAAGTGGTGAGGGATTCTGGACGACTGATTGAAAAAACTTATCGCGATCATTGATAGGAACTGCAAATATCATTTTTTGAGATCTTCTCACTGGATATACGGCAGCGTGTTTAACCTTAGGTATCAATTTTACAAGGACAAACTGCAAGCATCTCGAGACCGTGCCCGGAAGGCTCGAGAGACTGGCGCCGATGCTGATGCAGCGAAGCGCCAGAAGCGAACTGAGGTGAGAAGGAAACCTTGGAGATTATTAATCGATGTTTGATAGTAATGTGTATAGGTGTAGATAGTAGTTGATAATAAGGTAAATCGTTCTATTTCATAGTATTGTGACACCGTCATGTATAATCACATATAATGATGACTCTGCTCGTATCACTTGATAACGAACTCAACTGACTGTTATTATGTATTCGCATATAATACATAGAGCTTATGCGATGATATTATGAAAACTGATTATAGATATATCGAATAAGGACAAGTGTAGAACTGGACTGTAGGCTCCATGTATGCTTTTGTTGCAGTGATGGTTGCATGCCAGTGAGACATAATTTCTCTCGATGTTAATATCGGTTCCCATGTCGTCATACACCTTATATCAACGTATATGATGAGTTTATTCTTAGGTCAACGCCTCTGCTCCGCCCGGCACAGTTGTGCGTGGCTTCCGCCTACCGCAGTCGCAACACATCAATAGACTTAATGCAAAAAGGGATAATATAGTCTCTAAGGCTAGGTGAGTTGAAGCACATGGAGGTGCACTCGGTTGAGACCCAATCCTCAACGGAGCTTTAATCGTGCTATGGAGAACATTGGAGTTTCACCCGTGATGTGAAAAACACAAGTGAAAAACATATTATATAGCCACTATCGCACATCGATGCTACTTATTGGCATCCATTACTTCCGTGGACTGCACTTATGTACATAATTGTTCCTCAGAGCTAAGAAAAGAGCTCAGACTAACTCAACGGGGCCGATAAAGAAGAAGACAAAGAAGAGCTCCTTCACCGAGGACGGCATGATGGTGCTCCCCAGTGACCGTTGGTGAATCGTAGAGAAATATTGTGTCTAATCTCTGTTTGAATCAACGAACGTCTGTTGATATACGGACTCATCAGTGCTGCCATAATAATCGTGTTCCTATATTCTTAAATTTATTCTGATACGAAAACAGTGAAATCGTTGTAGTCCATTGTGCTTGTGTTTTGGTGACTAGTCTTGTGTTGGAGAACAATTCTATATGACTCACAGCGCTATACTGCACCCTAGAATACTTTGCTACTGCTGCTTACTGTGATGACGGTTGAAGTCAATTAGAGTTATATCGAGTTGTTTCAATATGCTGGGTGCTGGGACGCGATGATTACTGAGAGACGATGACGCTGTTTGCAGTTGGAGAATGAGAAAAGGCATTGTTATTGCATATGAATGTGATAACAATTGAATCTTTGAATAACGTTGAATAACGCTAACGTTGAATATGCTATTGCAATCTTCGGTCCTCCTCAGTTGTTCATACTGTCGATAGTGTAAAGTCCTGTAGGAGAAAACATAGGCCTTCTAGAAATGTTGTAACATCTGTTTACTGCTACCTTGCTGACTGTATCAGGAATTGATATTACAACACATTCTGTGGGCGGTCGGAGAGATAGCAAAGGTCGAATGAATTATTTTCTCATCAAAACTATCTCATTACTCAGAATGCTGTGAACTATCACTGCTCCGTAGCTCACAGATAAAACGGTAAAATACCGCGAGGAGGTACTCTGAGTAGATCTGGGGAGGAGAGTCTACACCATTTCGGGGAAGTGGTGAAGTGACTCCCCGACCTATCCCAGGAATTGCCACTTCAAGTTCAGATATCGCCGTTTCGGTATCTGGTGATTGATATTTTCCATCTTCCGTTTTACATATTCCATTCCGATTTCATTCTTTTTTGAAGTAGATTTCGGAGACAGATGAATCAACCTCCTTGTTATTAACGAAACAACTGGTGGTGCTCCCATTGAATACGAGGCCAGTTGTGCCACATGTAACAATAATGAGAAACATTGTGAACAGTCTTCACTCGCCTACGCTCCTGGTTGAATGTCTTCCATTCCGCCAAACATGACCTCGCATTAAATAAGAGCAACCTTAGGATTGCGTGGCCCTGAAGCTCCTCAAATCAAACGGTTAATTAGCGTGCCGGATACGCAGTATCCCATGATACATCTGAGAGCAACACTCCTCAATATCAGACGCAAGCTCCTCTAATCCGGCAGTGACACTACTTTCCCATTCAGATAATATCAATGATATAATGATGGGCTTCAAAACTTCTCCTGGGAGCATGCTAGCCACCGATAACGGAGTGCACCGGCCGGATAGAAGATTCAGGGTGTAGTTCAGGCCTGTGGAAGATGCTGGGAGCAACTACCTCCCAGTCTGAGAGATAGTTGCTTCGCAACTTTTGCTGTTGCAACTGTTGTCGAGTTGCATAGGAATAACAGCGAGGACTATCACCTGGTCCGGGCCTCGCAACAGTACAGCAGACTCTCGACATCTTGCACGGCAGAGCCGCCTATGGCGAATCGCCCTGGAGGTTGTGGCCTGGCTGACTAATCGGTTGACGTCGGCGATGAAGGTAGTCGTTTCCACCATACGAGTTCTCAGCGATAACGAACTTCGGTGCTGCTCTTACTTCTGTTCCACAACAGTTTCCGCTCTAGGTGACCAGCAAGAACGAGCTCGATGTCACCATGTTCTGACAGAACGGTTCTGTATGAAAGCCGATTCCCATTTGTGTAGAGTTTGCACGCGTGCACAGCCATGGCGAATCATGTGTTGAATTCGTTGACTAACGCCGTGTTGGTAATTACGACATTGATGATAGTACATTGCCTTTCGAAAAGGCCATTTGAGACAACCTGTTAAGCTCCCGGCTTGTGGGATCCTGCGCGATACAGATTAATCGGGCTCGCGCGAAGTGACTCGACACATTTTACACCGTACGGCGAATGACTTTAGTTTTTTTCAGAGCAAGGATGCATGGGGAATCTAATGGTCCAAGAGCCCAGCTCATCATCAAGTTGAGTCGTCCGCACAGTGCAGACTGCACTTTGATCTGTTCACTACCATGCCTGAAAATCTGAATGGGAATGCCACAAGTGCGGCCCAAGACTGATACTCGTCGTTCACTCTGAAGGATGCCTATAAGAATACTCGTCACTATAATGGATTGCTACGCTAGTCGAGCCCGCATTGCATTTGTTTGAGGCTCTGTTGGCTCTTTGACAAGTGACTTCCAGAGCTACGAGTTCTGATCAGTTTCGGACTTGTTCATGTACCTGAGCAGTTGTTTGGTTTCCCTTTGTTTTCTTGGGGGCCGCGTTGAGTGTATTGGGATCAGTACTTGAGTGAGGATAGTGATTATTATGTTGATGTGTGCGTTTAGTGGAATTAATGCTTATAGGGGTTGTGATTGTCATTGTTCCGATCGTGTTCTTCCAAAATGTCTGCTCACGGAGAGACTGTTCCTTTAGACGAGGGATGGACACTCATTCGAGAAAAGGCGATTGATAAGCTTGAGTAGGTGACACGATGTGAGCGGGGTGCGGTATCACCTTGGTATGTCGGGAAGGTACTATTTGGACACTGGAGAGGTACCGAAGGACGTAGTACAGGTGGAAGGGAAAGCACCTCGTATATTTGGTGCTGGTGATTACGCTCAGCTTTACACGTACTAGAATAACCAGATCGAGCTTGTGAAGTTTGCTGGCATTTTTAGGACTGTGTACAACATGTGCACTCAGCGTTCGCCGAACAACTGGTCTGAGGAGCTCTATCAGCGTTATGGCGAGTCAATGTCGTCCTATGTGACGAGGAGAGTAGGCGATGGTCCCTGGTTCGAATCCTGTCGAGTGCACTTTTTAGGTTGTACCGAGAATAGAAGGGCTTGAAGGCAAACCGTTGCTTGAAGAGCTCCTGTTGCGATGGAATAACCACAAGCTGTATAGCAAATGGATGGAAAGGTTCTTCACTTACCTCGACCGGTGAGAAGAGGAGTATTAGCGTTTGCTCGGAGGCTCTAAGATGGTAGATATTATGTGAAGTTGCAGTCTGTTGATACTTTGGCCGTACGAAGCGTTACTATTTTCAAGACTCTCGCATTTGACCATGGTCATGTGCCTGCTAGATGTCGGGCAGCTATATTGGAGATGATTAATAAGGAAAGAGAAGGTGGTACCTTTAGAGAAGGTTATAGTTTTTCACTGTGCACTCACTGTGTTAGGTACTGAGATTGAGCAGAGTCTTTTGAGAGGGATCGTAGACATGTTGTTTGATCTTGGCAATGCAAGTCGATCCACTAGCGCCGCTGAAGGCAGTAGCAGTTCTTCTAGGTAGGTCGCGTACTATGAACCGACTCTCTCGTTATTGTTGTTGATAGTAACCGTCCTAGCCTGGGAGCTGCCCCGAGTCATGGTAACGACGAACTCAGTACGTTGTGGGTATATCAACAAGAGCTGGAAGAATTCCTTCTACCTGAGACTGCTGTAATAGCTCACTTCAGTTGACGCAGGATGGTGGCCATTGCGGTATTGTTCAGCGTTTTTACGAGCGTCAGGCCAAGGCTTGGCTCGTTAGTGATTCTTTGCCTGAGTATTTGGTGAAGACTGAGTCGGCTCTGATGGCGGGTAAGTAGAGTTGGGAGGTGCATATTTGGTGTTTTAAATTATTTGAATTTTTGCAAGTTCAAGTTTAGCCTACTGGAATATTTAGTGAACGAGGAACTCGTCTCTGACAGTAATTGACGCTATTCTCGATATGAGGTAGTGTATAGTATGCAGTTAGCCTTGATTTATATTCAAGTTGAAGATTAGGGCGAGTTGCGGTCTCTTTCGCAAGCCAACAGCTTAATTGGGCTATTGTCTTTCAGAGCAGAAGAGAGTAGAGACCTACTTGCATCCCTCATCCATGCAGAAAATTAAAAATGTTGTGATCAAGGCGACGTTGGCGAGCACTATGGTAAGATATGACGCTTATGTGTCTTCTGGAGTGTGTGAGGATAACGTTAGTGATTTATGGTTAATTATAGTTTTTGTCTGTAAGTATAGTAATCAGGGGTTGCGGTCATATATGTGAGATTTTGTGTCATCATTGTTTCCGGTGATCCTAGTTTAATTTTCACACCATCTTTACTGTGTATCAGACTTCTTCCTTAAGAATTAGATTTGGAATCAGTTAGTGGATTATTGTCAGTCGCAAGCCTTGGAGAAGGATACGAGCGTTACTTGGATGCTTGATAATGACAGGAGGGAGGACCTGGTACGATTTGATGGAGTTATGGTCTACTTAATATTTGTGTTAGTCTCGTCTTTGGCGCATGTTCGGGTTGGTGAACAACGGTCTGGTGCCCATAGCCGCGAGCTTCAAGTAGTAAGGGTACATGGTGTGGAACAATATGGGGTGAATGGGCGAGCTTACCTTTTACAACGATAAATGGCCCATATCTTTTGACATAGCATCGAAATGTGAGATGCACTAGCTGAGTGGCCGGTGAAGCTAGTGGTGATGCGTTGACTCAGCCTAGGCTCTATGCTGGACAAGAACTCAAGCTTGATTAGTTTGGGAGGGAGAAGCTACATTTCATTGGATTCTGGGACGTTTTGTATTATTTGATATCCACTCTTATCATGCGTATCAGTGAATGATGACAATCTAATAAAAAATATATGATAATGGAAAATCTCATTTTGAATTACGTTTTATTATATATAGGTTTAGGAGATCGCAAGATGACGTAGCGTACCGTATTAATGCCGTGTACTTGAGGTGTATCTTTTCCGCCTATGGTAGAGTTCCCAGTAATCATTACTTAGTAATGTGTTGCGTAGATTGGATTGCATCGTGATATACTCAATGCGGACACTAAGGGGCTAATTTTGGACGCGGGGAAAGTGTTTGAGCATGATTGTGTTGGTGTTCAGGCAATACGTACAGGACTTGGGTAACAGCGTGGTGGATGCCTTATTGGACCAGCTGACGAAATTGGGACCCCAGCCGAGCCCACAAGCAAAAGCGGAGATCTTAGCAGACCCGTCTTTCGTACAGAAGCTCATTGATATGCATGACAGGTGAGTTACTGGCGTCTATTACACAGAGGGTCGGTATCCTTTTACACTCCGTTGCTCTCAATTTTTTTCATAGTTTTTCTCTGATTTTTTCACTCTGTTTGATCTTGGTGTCGTCTCGGACGCGATGGTCGGTACCCTATATCTCCTTGAGAGTTGCTATATCTAAAGCTCATGCCTAATTTTCGTGTTGTGCCATACTTTTCATACTCATGCCATACTTTTCATGTTGTGGTTACGGTGCTATTGAAGATAGCAGAATCCCGCTCATAGGGGGTGAAGTACTGAGCCGCATAGTGTTGTTTGTGGCAGATTCAAGACTATTGTGGCTGAATGTTTCCAATCAGACGGCCTATTCCAGAAGAGCTTGAAGGAAGGTGACTTCGCCTCGGCTGACAGTCCTTGGTCTATCTTGTATGGACTGTGTTCTGTTCAGCCTTCGAGACTTTCATCAATCGTGATTTGGGGCGATTTAGCATTGCAGCCATGATGAGCAGTTTCTGTGATAAAGTGCTGAGGAGAGGCGGTGAGTGGCATTATCTGTTGGCAATTTGGGATATCTGAATAATAGGCGAGAAGCGTTCAGAGGAGCAGGTGGATGCTCTTATGTCGAAGTTGGTGGATCTGTTCTCTTTCTTAACAGACAAGGATGTGTTTGCTGAGATATACCGCAATCAGCTTGCGAAACGCCTACTGTAATACGCAATTAGAGAGACTGATGAGGACCGGTACATCGGGTGGCTCTAATGTCCTGACCTGATGGTTCAGCTATTTATAGTTTAGTCTGGGTTATATTGAACCGCTTCCAGGATATACGTCCAAAATCTCAGAACTATGATGATAATATCGATTCCTGATACCGATTGACGGAATCAGCATTGTGGGTAGAGTGTTCGAGGCTGCGCGGGTGGCTCTGAATTCTTGTTATCGAGGATTTCTGATAGCGATTGACGAAATATCTTTGGCATAGTGGCCCCGTTCCCTGTATAAACCTCTGAATAGTACAGTGCTTGGGTATAGCGGCCCCGCTTCTGGAAAGATTACTAAATGGTATACGTGTTACCGTAAAGTTCTGAAATTGTCTGACTTCAAATCAAATGGGTCTGTGGACTTTCATGAAGGACGTCGTTAATGCACTAAGAAAGAGCTATTGGTTGTGTGGTGTTGTTGTAGGTATGATACTAGTGCAAGTGATGAAGCTGAGAAGAATGTTATTCAGAAGTTGAAGATGAAATGTGGGTAAGAAATGGTATGGCTTACATTGACTATGGGGGATGATATTTGAATAGGGCACAGTTCACGTCGAAGCTGGAGGGAATGATTACTGATATATCGCTGGCGGCGGACATGCAGAAACAATTCAGGGAGTATCTCTCTCACAGAGACTCTCAGGCTGACTACGATAAGTAGGCGGTCTCGCGCGCCGCCATCTTGCCTTCAACTGTTGATGCTCAGTATCGACTTTTCTGTGACGGTTCTGACTACTGGATTCTGGCCGACTTATCATGTAAGGTGAATGGTCATTCCGATGGGGGATGTACAATAATTTACTTGCGGGTTTCGTAGCCGGATGGCTTCGATATCACCACTCCGAGGTGGTGTGATGATGTGAACAGCCTGAATTTTCTTATGAGAAATAGTTTTGCCACATCTATACAAAATTTCAGCACACTTGAGCTGTGGGTGAGAAGTTATGTCAGCATGCGAAACAGACTCTTCACATTGTGCGTCTTTTCCTCTGAGTTTAGTGGAGTGCTGATGCTCATCCTCGATGTAATAAAATTGAACCAGCTTGAGACTCCTCGAAAATGCAGGAATAAGACCTGGGGTTCGGTCTAGCGCGTGGATCCTCTGAGAGATTTGCTGTGCCCTTATGGCACAATATGTTGTTATATTGCATACGAAAGCGTTTGTATTGTTTAGTGTCACATTATGGTATCGAGACTCTCGATACGAGACGGAAGTGGTAACTCTTGTTTCTCTTTAGCCTATCGACAATGTGATACTACCTGCTCCCATGACGCGCTGCTTGGGTGTATTTACTGACTTCTACAATGGCAGAACACAGCATCGCAAGCTTTCGTGGATTCACACACTCGGTAAGTGAATTTCGTGGCGCGTGACGTTTTCTGCCCATTCGTAATAGCAGGCCAAGCTGTTGTGGGCGCGAGATTCGGTTCGAGAAAGCACGACCTTCATTGCAGTACACTCCAGGTAAATGAAACAGTAGAATGGAGCGAATATAACCGGAAATTGTCAGGCGTTGATTCTGCTACTATTCAACAACCCAGCAGCCCATGGGGGTGATAATGAAGGATGGATCAGCTTCCAGGAGGTGAGGGCCATCATTCGCTTAGTATTGCCACTATGCTGTAAAACGATTAGATTCATACCGCAACAGGCTGTGGTGACGATACTCTATGCAAAAAATTACTGGCGACCTTGAGTATTGCGAGATATAAGGTAACAGGAAGAATCTATCACCATGGCGTGCGCTTTTGTTTGTGATGGTGGGAGTGATGGGAGTAGGTTTTGGAGAAGTCGGGATCGAATCCGAGAATTATCGATGTGGAGGAGAAGTTCCGAGTGAACCCGAAGTTCTCGTGTCCGCAACGGAAGATCAAGATTCCGCCACCGGCTCAGGTATGTCTTTCGTCACGCGCCACGAAATTAAACAGACATGAGGGTCTGAAACTGAGTTATAGGTGCATTATTGATAAACTCGGATTCGGTTCCGTGTGATGGGTGTTCTTCTTGTTGAGCTTTGGTTTGTATTCTTGGGCCAATTGGAGTCTGGAAGTATTGTTGTTGTTATGGTAGGACGAAACCCATAAGGCGGAGCGAGTGCAAGAGGATCGATCGATTTCTATTGAGGCCGCGATTGTGCGAATCATGAAAACTAGGAAGACGTGCAGTCATCAGCAGTTGGTGTCGGAAGTGCTCGAGCAACTGTCATTTTTCAAGTGAGTTTCGAGAATAATTTAGTGGCGCGGTGAAATTTTAATGGTGAGCTCAGGCCGAATCCTAAGGTCATAAAGCAGCGGATTGAGCACTTAATCGAGAGAGAGTATCTCGAGCGTGATGAGAACCAGCCCAACATATACCGCTACTTGGCCTGAGGACGGAGTAGAATTACACACTACAGCTCGTGGATGTATTGCTACCTGGTGGGAGTGCAATTGTGACTACTACCTCTACTATCATTTCGGTTTCGGTGGTGATTATTATTTTGTCCACTATAATGTGGATCGTGTCGAGTTGAGTGTATTCCAATGGGTTATTGAGCCGAGCAGTTTTGAGTCCGTCATGGCAACAGGAATAGGAGCATTCGTGAGTTTCGGCGACTTGGTGGCTGTACCGGAGGGAGCGGAAGTCACTGCTGCATCGGGGGTGAAGGCCTTGGGTGACGGGCAGTATATTAGTGCTAAGATGGGCACAGTCAAGGTGGATAATAATAGGGTAGTAATGGGAGGGGATAGGAAGTTATTGAGGGAGAAATCAATAGTTGCTGTCAGTTTTTTACGCATAATTGCAGCACTTTAACTCACAAGTATTATTCCCATGTGAGCTCTGTTTGTTTGACTGTTGACGGTATTGTTTAACGTTCTCACCCAAGCCTTGTATACTCGACTATGACAGGCAAGTAGGATCATGATCCAGTTTTCACAGTGAACGTTGTATTACGATTTGTATAGGTTTAGCTACCTCTTTATGTTGTTTGTAGTGATTGTTGACGAGGACAAGGTATTTACAGTCTTTATCAGGTAATGGTAGATAGTCCGACGGCACCCTTTGTGCCTCCCTCTGCGGGTGATGTAGTGTACGCGAGGTAAATCGTTGTCCGAAGCGGGGATCGCACCAGGGATCTCTCTCAGAGTGGCTAGAATAACTACGCAGAAGGCGGAGTGTATAATCGTCGCTGACCAGGCTGGACGGCCCAATAATTGCGGGTGGGTACCTCCTATGGCTTCTCCGCTGTTGTTGAATGTATATGTCGGCAAGATACCGCGGCCACATTCGAGTGCAGGACGTGCGGTATTATGATATTGACGCGGTGGCTATAGCGGACTGCTTTAGACCAGGAGATCTTATCAAGTGCAAAGTTGTAGGTTGGGGGTGGAACGGGAATGTTGGAGGGGAGGAGGAGGAATCGGATATTGAGGCTTGGCTCTTGATCTGGAGAGGACTTTTCGTGTAGTCAGCCGTAAGAATTCTGGTTTTAGTATGATAGTTGACGGGGTTAATTTTCTCATTGTTGGTTGTTTCAGTTGTCTATTGGAGATTCCAGGAGTTACCTTCTCACTACCTCGGGTACAGATGCTAGTCTAGGTGTAGTGATGGCTACTAGTGCGAATGGTAAAAACGTATTGTGAGATCCGCTAGAGTAGGAGGGTTGCGAGCAGGTCATCCCTTGGTGCCGATATCATGGTGTATGATGAAGTGCTCGGTAACGGGGGAATTGGAAAAGAGGTGGGCACTGGGCATTCAGTGACGCTTGGGTGAGTGGTCTTGGCAGGAAAGTGGCACGACCGTTGTGGCTACCGGAGGAAGCTTAGGCTTGAGAGCCTTTACGTTGTTCACTGTATGATGATGATGATCGTGATGTGTTGTGTTGATTGTCTCAACGTGGGGAGCGACGACAGCTCTTTTTTTGGTATACTGACTGAGAGTAATGGTATCAAGAGAGGAGTTGGAGGCATTGAAGGTGGCCGAATTGAAAGTCAAACTGAAAGTAATATCGAGTAGGGGGGAGGGGTTTGATAGCACATGGGTGGTTTAGGACGCTACGTTGCCGGTGTCGGGAACGAAGGCTGTGCTGGTCAATAGACTGCTAGAGCATTATGAGGCCCTTGCAGAGGAGAAGGCGGTTGCTGCTGAGGACGAGAAACCTGTGGAGGAGGGAAGTCCTGATGAGAAGGATAGTGAGGAGAAGGGGAGTAATGGTGATAATAAGGAGGGTATTGAGGAGAAGAAGAGTAATGATGATAATAAGGAGAGTATTGAGGAAAAGAAGAGTAATGATGGTAATAAGGAGGGTATTGAGGAGAAGAAGAGTAATGATGGTAATAAGGAGAGCATTGAGGAGAAAGTAATAGTTGGAATGGAAAAATGGTGATTGTGGTTGATTTGCTGGCGTTATGGT